GTATTTGGAAATCGTAAGGTACACGTGCTCTCCTCTAACACTTCAATAAATATCATTTCATCATTAACGGAATATTCTTATATATAGCCTCAACGGGATTCCTCTAAAAGGAAAATATTCTAAACTTAGAAAAAATAACTGCGAGATGCTATTTCCTGCAATCCGATATTCTAAGTGAAAACTCTTATCTATTCTAATGCAGTGGACAATTAATCGAAAATGTACACAGAAAAATATTATTCTACTGGTAAAGAAACGATCACTCAGTTTTACTTTCCTTCTTTCAAGTAATTTTTAGAAAAGAATATTTTCTTGATAATAGTCTTAAAATATACGCAGCACAAATTTTAGAAAAACTCATTAGTATGTAGTCAAAAGAAGAATTCTCTTCGCAAGAATATTATAAAACTTTATCTTTAAAAAAGAGTTGGTTCAAATCTATGTAGTAAGCAAACCGGTTTTTTGCTTCAATTTAATATTCTTCATTGAAATGCTAAACTAGGATTTAGAATGTATTTTGAGTAATGGCTTGTCATAAGCTTATGTTAAATTTGCGAATATATAAACTTATGAGGTACTTAAAACAAGTAATATTTACTTGAACGCAGTATGTATTTTTCTGTATACCAAGATATTATAACTTTTTTTCCCTTTTCAATCAAGAGAAATATGTTTGCTTAAAATAGAGCACACTCTTACTAGAAGAAATTTCCACTAAAAACAAGCCTTATACTGTAAAAGATAAAATTTCACTAATTTTAAGAATATTGTGCTTAGAATATTTTCCTTTTGACTTTACAGGAATGGCCTCTTGAAGTCATATGTGTAAGAAAATCTTGTTAACTTCTTGATTATCTTAACTGAATTTCTCAAAAGCTGGCAAAAATTAATTTTCATAAGTTAAGTTTCAGTTAAGTTTTAATATTATTAAAGCTTTATATTATGCTTAGGAATTTCTGAGGTCACAATGTTACAAATATGAAGTCTACATTTTTCAAATTCAAAATTGTAGATTCAAATATGACTGTTAAAGTCGTAATTTTTAAAATTCACCATTGAAAAGAGTGACCTCAAAATACGTTTCAAAATTTTGGTAAAACTTATATTTTTCTCAACTTTACGTTGACTACATTATATTTGTCATTTTAAATTTTGAATTTTAAAGATCACTATTAAATAAAGTAATCACAAAAACTTTTGAATACTCAATTTTTAAAATATTGAACTACCAGAAATATCAAAACGCAAAATTGCGTTTCCGCAATTTGGGCCACTTTTTGTAAACACCGTTATTTTATTGCGTATCCGCTAGTCAAATAGTTAAAGATGAAATTAAACTTCTTTTTTAAAGAGTGAATGCGCCGATTCGACTCGATTTTTGAATGAACACCACATCGAGGGCCACGGCGGGTTTTAATGGGTTATCCAACAAGGCCGCGGGAATGGGACAGAACGGAGGCGAATTGGTATAACTGGGTTACCAGTGCCTTCGTGAACCTGCATTAAAGCGATCAACGGCTGGCCGCTTCTTTCTCTCTCTTTCTTTCTCTATCTCTTTCTTTCTCGCGTCTCCGTTCTCCGCTCATCTCTCACGTTCGTCAAAGAGATGCCTCTGCTCCCCGCCGAACATCTCCGCGGCGACGTTACACCTTCAGGTCCCTCCGATACCCACACTTCGTCCCCGTTCCTCCTCCGCGTCCTGGTCGCGACTATCGCATACGTCGAGCCTGTGACTGACTCTATAACGGGATTCCGGTAACACGCATGCAGTCCGTCTCGTCCGCGCGCGCGAGTGCTCGCGTGTGAGCGTGAACCTCCTCCCGAGAGGAGGAAGAGACAGGTCCAGGGCAATGTTCCTCTTGATTTTTCGAGCGGCGCGTGTGCCGAAGGTCCGTATGATGCAGGCCCCGCGTGAAATTACGTGTCATCCGGGAACGTGCGATTCGGCAAAAGTGAGGAAGGCAGAAGTAGTAGCGTCACCTCGTCTCGGTCTACGTTTAACGATGTCGTTCCGCCTTGGGGTCTTGCCGTGCCCAATGCGGTTCGTCTGGGTTTTAATCTAACTATCGCGGAAAACTCGACTGCAAATCGGAACGGCCACGCGTGCACTGAGAGAGAGAGAGAGAGAGAGAGAGAGAGAAAGAGAGAATTGGTTCAACTAACTAAAATTATAGCTATTTTTGGATCCAAACATACTTTGATTGTTCTAACGTGAAAATGATAGCAGTAACATATATGTAAGATTATTATCACTAATATTATAGTAGAATTTAATTAAAAAATAGTTTTTTGTTTATAGTAATTGGTTTAGTGTAAAGATTCATAGCAATTATATATAGTAACTGGTTATGATTTATAGTGTATAAATTATTTTTCTATGTGATTATGGTTACAAATACCAAACATTTTTTTCTCAGTGTATACTTGTGCTCCTTGTAAATTATAACAGCGCCTGGAACGTTGACTTTTTCGCATCTTGTGTAAATTATTAATAGAGTTACTCACACACATACACACACACATACATACACACCTAGTCATATACCATTGAGCTTTCTTTTTCATGTTCAAGCATAACATGCATAACGTAGAATAAACATGGATCAATAGCTCTTCTGTGTAACGCGTGTGTTATACAGAAGAAGCAACGATCCATGTTTGTGAAATAATCTGGACCTTGGTTAACCCTTCACATATTCGCAGTCTTCATAAAAGACATGAAATTATCAAGCATTGTACTTGTCGGTCCGCGGATCAATGGACTATATAAATAAAAATGGCGAGCCACGCGAGAACCGGGCGTTAAAAGCGATACTGTGCTTCACAATGGAATTAATTTTCATAAAATTGCGCGGCATTTACCTTGAAACCTACTCATGTGATAATTGCATTGAATTTAATTAAAACTGCAATTTACAATTCTATTCGATGTGACACTGCATACTGTGTTATCTTTCGATTTAATACAGCAGTTAATGTTTACTTTGCGCATTGCACTTATCGCAATTTACTGGGCGCATTTACCGTCATTCAACACTCTCTTTAATTAAATCCTAAAAAAACGCGTATGTATATATACGGACGACAAACAAATACACAATATAACGGGTGCGTCGCGGCGAAATGGATATTATTATCAATAGTCGGTAGGGGGCGAACAAGATGTCGATTAAGCGAACCAGCGGTGGGAACTCTCATCATCTCACGACTTCCAGTTTTTCTGGCATACGCGCGAGGCTGATATTCTTGTACCGTTACGAAGGACAAATATGTACGCACCGATCTTGTAACCAGATCTGGAAAGTTACGACTGGCGAGCGATTACCGTATATCGAGACCGAACCAAAAACGACGTGAACTTTGCGCGGCGTCGACCAACATGGCGGTTTATCCATCGTAAATTGCACGAGAGAAAAATAATAACGCGGAATAATAAAGCGGGTGCGTTTCATCTCGATGTAGCGTAACCTTTGTGCCGATATTTTCTGCTTGAATTCATTTGTATTATTGCAAAAGCGAAGAGAGGATAAAAACATGCATCTCTGTCGATGTGTAACTCGATTGTCCAATTACGCGCAATATCGTGAGAGTAATTCCGCCCGCGAAGAGAAAATTGCAACCTGCCGTCTATTTTCTCTCGCGAATACAAGTGCATGTGTATTTTACGTCACCTCTTACATCTCACAGTCGGGTTTAACGCTGAGGAGTACTTTAAGACCGTCGTCGAGCCAAGAGCCATTTTTATAAATAAATTAACGTTAGCTTAAAGCAGAACTGCCTTTAAGCTCGAGGAGAGTTTCTTTTCTTTTCTTTTTAATTCAACGTCACACTAATATCCCCGATAGATTTAATACACTCTGTGTTAGGGATTTAATTCCTACATTGCGCAATCGTTTGCTCGAGTAATTGAGGAGTGACATACGCATAGTCCTCAGTCGCATAATTCTCTCATCCGCATAATGAACAGAGATTCTCAGTCTATTTCTAAAGGACTGAAATAAAGGATTGTCTGGAAATCTATTAAGAGTACTGATTTGTCCGACACTAATCTTGTGGGAATTACCGTACAATTAGTGAGAAATTGCAGCGTACAATTAAAACCACGGTCGCGTGTACATATTGTCTGCATATAGAACGTTCTTAAAAACGTTTCCGCCAAATTTGAACGGCGTATTCCACTAATTGTATTCAGCGACAAAATATCTTACAAATTCAAGTCCATGAGGTAAAATTCAAGGTGCCAATTCTTGGACACTTAATTCTGGATATTCTTATTGTTTTGATTTTTGAATATAAAAATGTTTAAACGTCCAACATATAATATATATGTATATACATATATTCCAGATTAAAAATCTGAATATTCGTATCAAGGTAAAAATGTTAATGTGATTAGGTAAAACCTTGAATATTCTTATTATTTTGGTCTTTAAATACGAAAATATTTAAACGTTCAATATATAAAAAAATATATATATATATATGCATATGTTTTACATATTGAATGTTTAAATATATTTGTATTAAGATAAAAGTACCAATGCCTGGACATGCGCCTAATTCTGGACATTTTTATTGTTTTGCTTCTCAAATACAAATATTTAAATGTTTAACATAAAACATATACACACATAAATATATTCGATATATATATTGCAAGTTTAAGTATTTAACCTAATTCTGGAAATTCTTATTGTTTTGATCTTTAAATATTTAATATAATATATAAACAAATATTTAAACTTTTAATATAAGGTATATGTATATATTCAATACATGTGTATATATCTTTTATACTGAAAATTTAAATATTCGTATTTAAAGATCAAAACAATATAAAGAATATCCGAAATTAGATACGCGACTATTGATACTTTCACCTTTTAAGTGCATCGTCTTTCCGAGTTACATCGCCAGTTGCGAATTAGCAATATATAGATTACCTGTGATAAAAGGCCATTTCTTTTTAATAATTAATATACCAATCTGCTTTATTACAGATGGCTTCTGGAAAAGGTGTCTGTCTACTGTTCGTCCTCCTCACTCTGACATATGTTTCCTCTCATTCGTGGACGCCCCAGAATGAAGGTAATTAGGATAATTGATACTACCCGCATTCTGCTATATTCGCTTGAGCAATTGTTGCTAATAACGTTGAACGATGTTTTATCGCCGGTTGAGCGAGCATTGTCCTCGCGTGCATCGCGGAAAAATAACATACAGCTGAAGTATATCGTAGAATCACAAAGGCCAAAGTAGTCAAACCCCGTAACATACACGGAAAAAAAATATTTGGTTGAATTAACCAAATATCTGGTCGAATATGAACGATCCAGAAATTCTGATTGAAGTAATCCGAATTCTGTTTAAGTTAACAAGATTTTTGGTAGATTAACCAAACGTATTTGATTATTTAACCAGACATGTTTGATTAGTCTACCAAAAATCTTGTTAATTTAAACAGAATTCGGGTTACTTTAATCGGAATTCTGGATCGTTCATATTCGACCAAATATTTGGTTAATTCAACCAAATCTTTTTTTTTCCGTGTAGAAGTTCGCCCTCCTATCGTCGATATCTCCTCCTCTAGACGCACTTCTAACGCACAATAAACCCGTCTCTTCCGCGACGTTGGAGGATGATGAATACACGAGAAAGGCGGAAACAAGACAGACTCGGATTTCTACTTTTACAAATTGTTCTCGCTATGTTAATACGCATGCCGCGGCGCGCGGCTCGCGCCGCAAAATGATACGTTAAAGTAACGACGCTCGGCAGTCATTACTGACACCGAATTCTACTTTCCGTCTTTCTTTGAGGAAAATCGACAACGAGAAGACAAGGAGGAAGCTTTTCGCCGTGCGCCGCTTATTCCGGCCGCGCCGGGGCGTAGACCAGGTGAAATTCGATTTTCTGCCGAGCTGCGCGAATATCGGTGTCGCTCTCAGTCCCTTCCGGCATGCGCGACGAGAGGGAAGGTCAAGGGTCGCCCGGGGAAACCGGTGTCGCGCGAACGAGCGAGCGACATTTCACGTTTCAGCGACGTTGCGTTTTTTTAGGGACCATATTCGCACGACGAATATTGACACCGAATTCTACTTAGGCTTCACCTGCCCTGGAAAGTAGCGGCGGAGACATTCGCTTGTGACGCGCGTGTCCAGATTTTAAGAGACACTTTGACGACGGCTCGCACCGTGTGTACGAGCCACCACAAAACTCTCACACTTTCTTTAGTATGGAGTTTAGAGAGGAAACATAGGGAAAGCAGTTCCAATGGCAATTCAAATGGTAAATTACGGCCGGGATGCCAGCAATTAAATCTCGAAGGACGAGAGCGCAGAAAAGAAAATATTAAAATGGCTTCTGGTTCGTGAGATCAGTTTGAACAGAATTTCAATGTAGCGGGAATTAAATCATTCTTTGAAGACTAACGTGCTAAAGCACTTGACGTTGCGAGGTAGAAATTTGCAGGTCGATGATGGCATTTCACGAGATTATAGAGAATTGCGAATTTCACAAAATTCGTAAATAGGAGGATTCTGCGAATTCTGGGGCGCTCCCCGAGTCGAAGTTTTAGTTCCACTATTTCGCGAATCTGAACCTTCTAATATTCTGTATATTCTGAAAGATTGCTATATGGTAATATACATAGATACTGAAATTCTACTTAGCGCCTCTAAATGGCGGAAAACACGCAAAATGCCACTTGCAGGTTCTAAAGAAGACCTGTCGGCAAAGCTAGTACACTGAGAGAAGAAAGTGGTTGATTGAGTTGAAATTATAGTTATCCCCAACCATACTTTCTGGTTGTTCTAACGCGAAAATGGTAAAGCAACACGCATATAAAACCATCATCACTAATATTATAGTAGAATTTAATAAAAAGAAATGGTTTTCTGGATCATAATTTATAGTAATGATTTCTCTATGTAACATGTAACATGCATATAAGATTATTATCATAAACATTATAGTAGAATTAAATAAAAAATAATTTCTTTAACCATAATTTAATTATTTAACCATAATTAAATTATGGTTCTACCTTGCAATGTCAAGTGCTTTAGCACGTTAGTCTTCAAAGAACGATTTAATTCCCGCTACATTGAAGTTCTGATCTCACGAACCAGAAGGCGTTTCAATGTTTTCTTTTTTGCGCTCTCGTCCTTCGAGATTTAATTTGCTGGTATCCCGGCCGTAATTTAATTATACTTAGCCATAATTTAATTTCTTTAACCATAATAGTAATTATTTCTCTATGTGATTATAGTTACCAAACATTTTCTTTTCAGTATAGATTAAATAGGATCAACAGAAGTTGAATTGAGGTCAAAACAGATATAGGGTTCAGATCAGAACAAGCGTGAAATGGAATATTGAGATATCAAAAAAGTAGTATATCAAAGTTTCGACTCGAGTCTGTGATAACTCGATGACCCGGGAACGTCGACCGCGTCACGTATGAATGTGTCAACGTGTCGCGTGTCTGAAAGAGAGACGCGAGTCTCTCTCGACTCGATGCCCGCGAAGATTATACTCGCGAGCCGTGCCGCATACCGAACGTGCAACCGCATTTGAATGCTCATTAGCGAATGCCGACTTTGCCCTATATCGGAAATTCACCTTTCTCCACTTTCGCGGGTTGATTTGTGTCAAGAGAATTTGTGGCGTGCGTCGCGCGCGCTCGGCATCCGCAGTGACATTTACAGCTCCACGATAATTTATCACGCACGCTTTACGCGCAACGAGACTTGTGCACTTTCGATCCATTTACGTCGTCGAATCTCTCTCGACGGGCCCAATCAAACGTCGCGCACTTTCTCCGAGAGCGCATTTGACGCGCTTCCGCGTGCGTATAGAGTCGTGAATTATGTATATTGACAGTGCAAGAGAGATTCGATTCGCTAGAAATCAAGGTCTCGATCGCGACGGACTCGATGACGCAACCGCGATTTCTCACGGCGCTTGTCGATCAGCCGCATAAAATGCGACCAACTTATCGTGTCTCGCAATCTCATTCTTCGCGAAGCTCGACTATCACTCGCGAATTATCGTGGCAAATTCGAAAGAACGATCGAATCCCGGTATACCGAGGCGACGAAAGGCGGAACGGCAAAGTTCCGGAGCGAAACCAACTTTTGAGTAATCTTCATATTACCCTTGCCGCTTATCCATCTCAAGATGCATCCTGCATACTGCCGGCGCAAAACAGATGCGTGTCGTGGGAAATGCATACGCGGATGCACATAGCTCGGCCGCGGGATTTTAATTATTACTAGTTGCGCCCTGTGCAGCTCACACGTTGCGACACTACGTTGGTTAGGATAATTGACGTGCCGTAATGATGCATATCGCGGTTAGAAATAACGTATTATTTTTTTATACAGGCAAAAAAATATTATTGCACTGCTATATAAAGAAAAGCGATTTACCCGATCTACTTTTCTTCTTTTAAGTAATGGCTATCTGCAACAAACAATATTTTCTTAATAATTGTCTTAAAATACATTCACATCACGAATTTGAGAAAAGTCCATTATCGTGTACTTGAAAGAAGATATTGCAATCTCTTCACAAAAATATTATAAAATGTTATCCAAGAAAAATTTGATTTGACTGAATGTAAATAATAAGCAAACCGGTTTCTTATTTCAATTTAATATTCTTCATTGAAATGTTGTGAATAAACTTGCTAAGAATCAGAATGTATTTTGAATAAATTTTATATTTATGATAATACAAAAAAAATTACGGAATCAAAAATATTTCATTTATTTGATGAATACTAATAACACACTTCTGGTAAAATTAAATATAATTTGTAAAATTAAAATTATACATTTTCCTAAAACTTTGGCTTTTTATGAAAACACAACTGCATTGTTTGTTCTATATCATATATTTAAATAAAATTAATAATATATTATTTGTATTTTTATTATATCAATATTTATGAATTTTATGTTTAAATAATATCAGTATTTAAATAAAAGAATTCAGATTTAATATGTTATTAGTATCTCGCCAAATAATATTTTGGTGTTTTTAGATATCTTTTCTCTTAGTGTGTAGATTTGCAGATATAGAAGCTTACGAAATATCTGGGATAAGTAATATTTGCTTAAATGCGATATTTTTCTGTGTGTATTCTTTTACCGATGCAACACGTATTCCGTCTGAAACATCCGTTTTCCCATGAAAGCAAATAGCTATCGATCAAAATTAATGAACCAACGTCGGCTATATTCCGTTAATCGGCGGCGTCTTTCGGCGTGAAACATGATTTGCATAACGTATAATAAAATATCAGGGCGCGACACATCGGACCCCGTATCAGAACTCTTCGGAGAGGCAACATTATGTGTTCGATTTAACTCACATCAATAATTCGCGAGATCCACGAGCTGACCGAGCTTTCGGCGATCGTGCATCCTTAATGCAGCGTTTCCCGTTTGGAATCCAGCTGCATAATGCATCAAATCGACGGGCGACTGATCTGATGTATGTGACGCTCATCGATTCGTTACGTCACGAAAATTAATGGTGCGTTAAGCGACGATGCTTTCGGAGGCTCGATCGCCGGGGCGGATTGTCACCAACCGGTACTGTCTCACGCGCTCATGCGACGGATGTAATAATATGCGCGTACGAACCACGTAGCCAACCCATATTTCGCGACAATCCCGCGGTTAATCTAAATTGCAAATTTCACTCTCTTTTCCGCGTCGCATAGAAAAGAAAGTAGCTGCATGAGCCGGCGCGCCGAGGGACATACACCAACTTCCCGCGCGCGCGGGAACACCCTGACGTTTTCAGTGCCCATCACGAGAGTAGAGTATTGGCTATTCATCGATTGAAATTCTCCTCGACCAAAATAATCGGCGAATCAGTCATCGAAGTTAACAGATCTTCACACGGAATTACGAGTAATTTAATCGATTGATGAAATTAATTATCACTGTTAAAAAAACTTCATTATTTGATAGCGAAGTTCTTTTATATAACCAAGTTATAAAAATTAATAACTAAATTGATATTACATTTAATAATGCATAGCTATGAAAAGACAAATTGTGATCTATAATGGTGTAATAATAATTTAGAAACAATATAATAAAACGATCTAAATATTTATGAAAAACAATTCTATATAAATTTTTTCATCGTGCAGCTCTCGAAGGTTGGACACCGATTGAGTTACGCGGCTTAACTCAAAGATTGAATAGAAACTAGGATGCCAACACACAAGTTCTTTCGATATATATCTTATGGTTCATGTGGCAATAATTCTATTTAAACCTCATATTAACCGTGTAGTTTAAAATGTTCAAATAATGTAAATTATAAAAAAATTCATATATAGTTGAATTAATCATATATTTAATACAAAAATTTGAAATTCCGCATCATACATAACTTAGAAATCATATTGTGCATTATTAAATATAATAACTCTAATATTTCATAATGTATTATAACATGTCATAACTGAATATAAATACTAAACAGAAAGTTATGTAATATAAGACAGAAAAGTATTAAATTTCATACTTCTATAATTTTATACTAAATGATAAAACATCATAATCATTTTCTAACTAATAATAATATGAATGATAATATAAATAATAATATAAAAAACTTCGCATGATTATAAGTTCTAAAAAAAATTCTTAAATTTACCAGCAAAAATGTTATTATATCTAAAAACTTTTTTAACAGTGCACTAATCAGTATATAATCAATCATACATATTAAAGTATTTAATTAACAATTAATTTTACCATCGATAAAATTATTTGTGTATTGTACGATCAATTCATTTTAATGATTGACTGGCCGATTAGTTCCAAAGAAAATTTCAACCGATTACCTATACGGGACAAATATCTAAAAGATATTTTAGAAAGATCTAAAAAATATCCCATTAGTTTTAGACATCTTTAGAATATCTGAAACATATTTTAAATCTTTATGCTGTTTGGATGATGTCCAATATAAATACTGCATGAGAGAGAACGAGACGAATACCACGTACAGAAAAATATCATTCTATTGTTGAGAAAGGCGATTATTTTCAGTTTACTTTTCCTTTTTGAAGTAATGGTTAACTTCGACAAAGAATATGTTCTTGACAACAGTCTCGAAAATATACTCATTAATCTTAGGAATCACACTGTCATATACTCAGAAGAATTCATTCTCTTTACAAGAATATTATGAAACCTTAAGAAAAAGTTGATTCGATTTCACATAGTAAACATGAAATTTTTTAACCTTTAAAGTCATAAGAATAGAATTCTTATTTTATTTTAACATTCTTGATCGAAGTGATTGAAACTGGCCAGAATACGGAATGTATGATGAACTTGTGATAGATCTGTGAATACATAAACTTATAAAATACTTAAAACAAGTTACATTTGCTTGAAAGCAATATGTATTTTTCGTGACTTCCCCTCGAATTCTACTGGCCGCTGGAACCTATCTATCTTTGTCGAATTTTCTGAACCTAATTCCAATATAATCGCGTTCATCATTGCGTTCATTACCTCTTTTGTTCTGATCTCGTACGACGATCTTCATCGCCGAGTGTCGTCGCGTATTTTCACTATTTTTTAGCATTGCTATTTTTATTATCCCTTACTTTATCGCGTCAATATTTATTTTGTGCGTCATACTATTTTTTTCTTTTCACCTGAGTCTAAGGAGAACTCAAAAGGCGGCCGAGACAGAGAGAAAGAGAGAGAAAGAAAGAGAGAGACGGAAAAGTCTAAAGAACATCCAGGGAATTGGGACGTCTTTTGAGCGATTTCACGACGAGTCTCAGATGCCTTCGTCGCGCCCGGGTACGTGCTGTTTATTTAGGCGAGTGAACGCGGCATACCGATCAGCACAGACTCACGATTCGTAAGAACACGCGCATAGCAAAAATCTGGCACGCCACGAGTCCGTCCAAACAGGCATCGCGAACGGATCGCGGAGTAGGTCATCATATATCGGCAGTGTATAAGAAGGCACGTGCGGAGCCTACATGCTTGCTCGTCTATGCTTTGGTCAGCTGAGCATAACCGGAAAAGATAGCCGCGTATGCGCAGAGCCACACGCGCGGACGCGTGTACATCTTCTTAACCGATGTTTCCTCCGCCGGCATTAACGCGCGATACCGTCGATGGTCCATATTTTCTCACGTGCGAGTGCGCGCGGAAAAAGCGAGGGGAACAAGAGCGAACGTGTTATCGTTAAAATTATCAGGACTATCAGCTAAAGAAGCCATAAACACGATTTGTCGAGGAAATAACTTTCGCACTTCTTCTCTTTCACGATACAAATCCGATGTGTGCAGCCGACTTCGTGGAGTCCGCTCGTATTCTGCCCGTTACGAAATTGCGCGCGATTGCAACATCGTCCCGTCGATGCGGGATCGTTGCAAAATAAACGGCGTTTGTGTATTTTTAGTCCGCCGTGGAAACGGTTATTTAAGCGTCCGCAACTACGGATGCACATTGACGTGTCGATATAAATCTCCGATCGCGCGTGGCCCAATATCCGATTTCTCTTCGAGGGTGAGATGAAATTTGGAGCAGTGTGCGAGAGCTACGCGAATGCGATACTCTTCCACAACCCAAATACCAAACGGAGCGCTCTTCGGGAGCCTCCTCCTCGCATCATGCGACGCGACGTGCCCGCAATAATAATGATTAATTGTAATTATTTATGTGACGGAAATTGCAGCACCTCTCTCTCTCTCTTTCTCTATCTCTCGCTCTTTCTCCATTCTTCTTCGTAGCTTCTCTCGGAATTACAAAGCTCTTCACATGTCGCACGCATAAAAGCGAGCCTGAAAGCTATTATGTTAATCTTGACTTCTAATTTCTTGTAATAAATTGATGTGTACAGTAGACTTTTAATGATTGTAAATAATACCCAGTGTTGGTATTAATTGATTAAAATTTTCTCTGACTAAGCAATAAAAATAATTTCGACTAATGATTTCGAAATTAATTGTTATAATTCTTTTTTATATGATTGATTATTACTAATTAATAATTCATTTCATGATCAATAAAATTATTCATGATCACATGACGATTGATTAATTTGGAGTATTGATTCGCTGAGTATTTCAGTTAAAAAAAATTGTAATCAATTAATGCCCAACACTGACAATACTTTATATCCAGTGTTGTAACGTACCTAGATACATGTATTTTTTTGCAATATCTAGATATTTTTTGTGTATCTATATCTGTATCTAGTTATATTTTTCATTTCAAAATCTGTATCTAGTTACATTTTATCTCATATTTGTATCTAAATTTATTATTTTAGATACAGATACAAAATAAAATACAATTTTGGTGATTTTATATATAACTGTTACTTTTTCACAAAAGACAAAGTTGTTTCCATGGTGTAAGAATATAAGGTGATGCATTCCGGTAGATGTGCAGTAACTACCAATCAGAAAGTTATCACAAATGCGAAAAACTCAATGGCTCTTATCAGACGTAACGTTAGCATCGTATATTTTGTGGTAATTTTCTGATTAGTTCTACACCTACCTCCATGATGCGCAATGAAACACCTTGGCCGCGTTCCGTTTCACGTATATGCATTTATCTACAGTTCACGTCGTATACTGTAGGGAATACGCGCACAATGTGTAAACGGAACGCAACCCTTATATTCTTACACTATGGTTGCTTTATTGGGTGCGTTCAGCGAACTCAACAGTTGCACAACAGTTGAGTAATTCGTCAATGTAATTGGTCTAGATTTAGAGATCTAACAGTAAGAACCAATAATTGTTGATTGCTCACTGAGTGCTTTTTCCGCTGAACGCGCCCATTTGGTGCATTTAGTACTACAACCGCTTACTGAACGTTCAGTGAGCTCTTGTATCCCATTGGCATATTCTTTTAGATATAAAAATATGTACCAATAAAATGTGAGCACTTCGTAATCGAAGTATCTGAAAAGTATCTGAAGAGATTTAGATACATTCTCGAAGTATCTGTATCTACATCTAGTTATTCATATGAAATTCGTATCTGTATCTTCATCTAGCTACACTTTTCTTACTGTATCTATATACTTCAAAACATCTAGCTACTTCAAAACATGTATCTGTTACAACACTGTTTATATCTTTGATTTGAATGAAAAAGCTTTACAATCTTTCATTATAAGCAAGCATATTTCTTTTCAGTTATGAGCTTTTTAGACTTCTTGAGCAAATATATTTCTTTTTCAGTTATCAGTTTTTAGACTTTTTGATTCCTCTAAGCGGAATATTACCAAAATGACTTCGTGCCTCCGTTTCGAATTCCTCTCGTTCTCATCTCATATTTCTTCGTTCCCTTAAAGCAATTCAATAGATTCATATATTCAAATTTAATTAAAATACCATTCAAACGCAATGCTAATGCAATTCAGTCGCGTAATACGAGCGCATAGTGTTTAATATAGAGAAAGAAAAGAGAGAAAAAAAATGAGCAAGTCACGCGTCGCGGAGGTTGACCTTTGACTCTAATTACTTCGCAGGTAGAAAGCTGTTCGGTGGCTACACGATAGTGCCGAAGGTGTGCCGGCCTACGATACCGTCGCGCGTCAAGTCGAGCGAGCCGGCGATATGCATGTTCAATTATGAATGCACGCGGCGCAATGGCGAGGTCGTCGGCGCCTGCATGGACGGCTTCCTCTTCGGTGCGTGCTGCCAATTGCCGCCGAGAAGCCCGGCGAACGGAAACAGCGACTTGCCCGGCACCGAAGAGCTCCTTGGTCTGCACCAGATCGACCACGTACCCGACATACCCATCCTACTGAACCCAGACGGCACGCCAGTCGGCATGTCGGTGCCGCCGAGCGGCGAAATCACGAAGACTGGCAAGCCGAGCGTCTCGAATCACTTGAACGGCGCCGAGACCGCGTACACGAAGATTTCCAGCTCAAATCAGGCCTCGTCGCACGTGGCGCCGAGCAATCCCGAGAAAACGCAGACGCAAGTAGACGTCAGCCAGCTGGTTGAGGACTTCCCGGCGCTTCTGGGCCAGCAGGAGATCATCGACGACCTGCGACTGCCGGGATTACTGACTCATTCGGATTCCAACAACGACATCCAGGACCACCAAGATCCTTCCGCGGTGAATCCGGTCACCACGCTGTTGAGCCCCGATCAGATCTTGCAGATAGCGGACCCAGTGGATCAGCTGCCGGCTCTGTTCTCTCAGGGAATCGGCACGAACAATCATAGCGATCCCGAGACGATACTGCTGAACGAGAACGGCACGATACTGCAGGAGGAGTCGTACAATCCGGACGAGATCTTCCGACCCGCCACTGAAACGTCGGTCGATAAGGTCACGCAGACTGGCGGCAGCACGGGCGTTTGGGTGAAATTCAGCGAGCGACCCGCGTTTCTCACGACCAAGTCGACGCAAGGCATGAAATCGTCCACGACGCCGATGATGACGAAGATGCCCATGGTGACCCATATGTACGCAAACGCGCAGAAACTTACGAGCGACCCGCCCAGCACGCAGCTGGCCATGACCAATAGCTACGAGAAGCTGAGCACGGCTGAGAAGAAAGTATCCACGAGAATAGCGAACGACGCGAGCTCGATGACACTCGAGGTCACCACGCCGATGAGCGCGTCGAGCGTGAACGACGACGAGTTGGTGAAGGTGCCGACCATCATCTACGACATGCCATCCGGTAATAAAAAGAAGGACGACGTGCTGGATAAGGAAGAAATCGCTATCAATCACATCATTACAATCTTGAACGACACGGCACCGAGCCCGGATGTGTCGATGACGCTCCAGGTGCCCAACTCTTCCCCCGTTCAGGGTTGGGTGAGCATCGATGAGATGTCCAAGCCCGCCCACACTAAAATTACTTCTTTAAACTACCGCCTCACAACCCCCGCAAGCCCCTCGACCTTTCCTTACGCATACTACAAGCCCGGCTCGCTACACAGACCATCCTCGACATACTACAATTACGAGCTCGTTCCTACGCCCGGCGCAGAGACCACCTACGCTTCGCATCCGACCTCCAGCAGCCCGTATGTCTCGCGACCTTCCACGCAGACGACCTACGATGCCTCCAGCAGCTTCAGCCAATCTAAACGACCGACAACGAACCCGCCGGCGCCGACGGTGATAGTTCTCGGACCGCTCGGCACGGGATTCACCACAGAGACGACCCAGAAGCCGGTCACGAGGAAGCCCTCAGGCGGTGGCACTAAGCCGATCAAGACCACCCCCGTCAGACCCACGATCGTCAGCACTAAGAAACCTAGCGTGTCCACCACGATCACTCATAACATCAGCACCGTTATCTCCAACGTCGCCAACAACAACGTGGTCTCTACTAGTTACATCAGCGTCAATCTCAAGGAGGGCACCAGCAGCGCGAGACCGAGCGTCGACGTCAGCACCGAGTCAATTCAATCGGTGACCAACACCAAGATCCGACCGAGCACTAGGAAACCCATCTGGACAACGATCTCCTCGTGGTCCAACAAGCCGACGTTCAATCTGAAGCCTTCGGTGCCCAACTTCAGCTGGACGGATGAGAAGCTGACGCCGATCGACCAGATAGTGCTGAAGGACACCACGGACAGTGCCAATCGCGACACCACGAGGTTCACCACCACCTCACCCTGCGACGCCGAGACAGAGAACCCGACAGCGGCGCCCGACGACCTCAGCAACTTCCCGCCCGTGCGTAATCCGAATTTTAACGTTTCCGCGCCGATCTCGCAGCAAGAGAAACCAACGATCGTCGAAACATACAACAACACCGGCTACCCGGACATTGAACTGATTAGTGAGAACGACATTCCGACACCTGCATTTATCGAGGACGATGTTCTCACCAACAAGGTGGACGCCTTCGTTAACAAGATCGTCGAGTCGCTGCAGGGCAATTTCCAGGTATCGCCAACAGATCAGGCTTGTGCCGTAGATCTTTAGATTACGTCTACGCGAATTTTTTACATACTTTCTACGTAATGTATAGACGGTCGTTCTTTTAAATTCAAATCTACATACATAGGAAAATTTTGGTTTTGAATATTTTTGACATATTAATTTTCAAATGAGATTACAACAGCGTTAAATGAAGATATAAGTTACTTGCAAGAATATATTTTATATGATTTTCAACAATAAATATCTGTTCTTATTCAAGAGTAATTTTTACTAATGAAAAGCACAAAATATTGAATTGAGAATATAATGTTCTTTAATATAGAAGAAAAATATAATTATATTTTGTATTTGATATGAAACTATTATAATATTTCAATAAAATAGCAACGCTGTTGAAATTCAAGATTTTAAAATTCTTTTAACAAAATTGTGTATTATCGTCTTATATATGAAACAATGATTGTTAATTTGAATATATTAATTTTAAGTGGATACTAATTTGTTTTCTCCGTGTATTTCAATTGAGATGAATTTCAAGTAACGACCACTAATACAGACATTAAAGAGAGAGTTAATAATATTCAGCCTTGGGAACAAACTGGAGGAACAATCATGGAAAATAACGCGTAGTTATCCGGATTCTTTCGTGACTTTCTTTTCCCGGTTATTTCTTCAGGGTCTAAAGAACGTAGTCTACACCGGCAACAGCACAACAACAACTTTGGCAACACCCGCCAACACCGTAACGAGACGGCCGACAGTCGGAACGAGCAGCACGACGAGGAAACCGACGCGAAGAGCCACGACCAAAGCGCCGTTGTCATCGGTAACAACGAAGAAGCCGTCAGTGAGCACGAAGAGGCCCACTCGTCCCACTCAGAGACCGTCTTCGGCCGAAAAGCCAACGCGGCCCACCAAAGTGACTACTACGAAACTCAAACCGAGCACGTCGCAGAGTATCACAACCAAGAGACCTCAGACAACGACGAAGCGTCCGAAACCGACCAGAAAAGTCACCACCACAACACCGTCCACCAGCACGGAAACGACCGTACTCGAGGAACAGAGTTTGAACGTGACCGAGAGCAGCATCACGGAAGCGAATGCCTCTCCAGATTTTCGGAATCGTAAGTGAACAGTCGACACGCGCGTTTGGAGAACCCAACGACCGACGTGCCAATGTCAGAATCTCATCGTATCATGCGCTGTGCTGTTTTATCGTCTCATTAGTTTTGTAACACCTCCATAATCATTCGCGCAAATATTACACGGAAAAAGAGATATGATGAACATCATCAGAAATATTTAGTTGCGAGCAACATAGTTGCATCACTCCTAGTTATCTTTGTGTGAGGGTAATGTGTATGTATTGTAATGTGTTTGATATGACTCAGTTACTTTGGCATATCATCTGCAGCAATGTAGTCGCGCGTAATCTGATTGTGGTAACCAGAAATCGATCGGGATGACGTTTACCATAGATACACTTTGCTTAAAGCAATCAGGTATCGTCGATGCTGCAACGTCAGTAACTCAGCAATTATTCTGTGGTTGCAGCAACTACATAATCAGTTCATCAATAAAACATGTTCCGTGTTTTACTGTTAAATCTAGTTGGCATAACCAGATTTATGTGTGAGTCAACTGTTTTTCTGTGTAGAATTATTAATGAATGGCAATGACTCTAAATGAGGTAGCAATACTAATTTTTGTAATTAATTCATATATTCAAATTCTGAGCATTCTTACTGTTTTGGTCTTAGATACAAATATTTAAACTTTCAATATAGAAAATATATGTATTCAATATAAATATATATTTTTTTTAATGTTAAAAGCTTAAATATTTATATTTAAAGATCGATACAACAAGAATGCCCAGGATGAGGTATGTGTCCTGACATTGTATTTTTACTTGAACTGTAATAAATTACAATCATTAATTAATCGCCAATTAATCATTAATTAATTAATCATCAATAAGTTGAATTATTAATTATTAATTAATCGCAATTACTAATTAATCGCAATAAATTGAAATTACTAATTGCAGTTATTAATTAATTGCGATAAATTGCGATTAATATCGTAGGCAGTGAGAAATATAGGAAAGATTTTTCGCATCGGCAGAATGCGGCGTAAGACCCCTGATGGAAAGAACGGCGAAGATAGTCGGCGGCAAAGGAGCAAAATTCGGGGAATGGCCATGGCAGGTTTTGGTTCGCGAGGCCACCTGGCTCGGTCTGTTCACGAAGAATAAATGCGGCGGTGTGCTTATCACCGATAAGTACGTGATAACAGCGGCCCATTGTCAACCAGGGTAAGTCGTGAGGATTCATTAAAACATTGGAATCGAAGACTTCAAAAACCATCTGCCTAAATAAATCACTTCTTCACGTTCATTCGCGAGCACTAATATAATTATTTTGTCGTTCGAAGGATCAATTTTAACCCTTAAACGACAAGGGGAGGTGACCTCATTCGGTATATATTTTTAATGTAATACATTAAAACCGTGATATATTTATGCCAAAGTCAGATATTACGCCAAAAAACATTTTTATACAAAGTGTTCTTGTTAAATTATTGTTTATTTATCCTAATATAAATTTTAATATACGAAAGAAAAAAATAAACTCAAAAAATGTTAATGTCATATATGACTATATCTTATTGTTTATATCATACTGATATCGTACCAATATCGGATGTACGAAATTTGTTTTTTATATTGTTTCTATGATGTTTTGATATTGTTATTATGTTGTCAAACGCAGGGCCGATTTTAACGAATCCCGACTTGTAACTACAACTTTATTACATATCACAATGTATAAAAAATTCTTCCTTTTCTTCCTAAATTTGTAGAGTAAATATTACTTTTTGTTTCAATATTTTAGAAATATATATTTATAAATCTATCATAAAAGAGCTCATTACAAACATAAAATTTACTCAAAATGTATTCCTAATTCTAGTAACATTTAATCAGTTTAACATTTCAATCAAGAATATTAAGTTAAAACACGAATTCGGTTTACTTACTACATAGAGTCAAACCAGTCTTTTCTTGGATAATGTTTTGTAATATTCCTGTAGAGCGAATAAAAATTCTTCTTTCGAATGCATGATAATAAGTTGTGTTGAAATTTATGATGAGTATGTTTAAAACTTTTATGAAGAAAATATTCTTGGTCGAAGATAATCATTAGTTAAAGGAAGAAACTGAGTAACCGCTTTTTCTTATATACAATAGAATGATATCCTGTGGAGAGGAAACGCGAAACTACTAAATCTTAGATGATAGACTTTAAATAATAGGTTTTAAAAAACACATTTAAGGCTGTTATCAAGAAAATATTCTTCGAAAACAACCATCACTTAAAGAAAGGAAAGTAAACTCTTCTTTTCGAATAGTCGCTTTTCCCAGCAATAGCTGGAATGCTATTTTTCTGTGTTTGTGTTGTTACCAGCTTCCTGGCATCTTTGGTCGCCGTGTTCGGTGAGTTCGACATCTCGGGCGAGCTGGAGAGCAAACGCAGCGTGACGAAGAACGTGCGCCGCGTGATCGTGAACCGCGGCTACGATCCGGCGACATTCGAGAATGACCTGGCGCTACTCGAGCTGGAGTCACCGGTGCAATTCGACGAGCACATCGTGCCGATCTGCATGCCGGAGGAAGGCATCGACTTCACCGGTCAAACGGCGACGGTGACGGGCTGGGGCCGGCTCAAGTACAGTGCGTATCACTTTTCTCTCCTTCTCTCTCCCTTTCTTTCCCTCCCCAACTTGCCGAAGTCGCACAAGTGTAATAATACGCGTGGCAGAATTTCTCGCGAGACTAGATAGAAAGTACGAAATGGAGCGGGTTAGCATGACGCGAGCGGAGCGACGACTTTCACGGTGACTCTCGCGTGACCTCATCGCGGGTGCGCCGAATTCGGACTCGCCTATTGCGACTTTCCTCTCCGGCGAGATTCGCCATGGTCAAGATCCCCCTAACGGCATCCTCACGTTCGACAGATGGTGGCGTGCCGTCGGTGCTGCAAGAGGTCCAGGTGCCCATAATGGAGAACTCGATGTGCCAGGAGATGTTCCAAACCGCTGGTCACTCAAAACTGATTCTGGATAGCTTCCTTTGCGCCGGATACTCCAACGGCCAGAAAGACTCCTGCGAGGTACTCGCCTGCCCTGACCATTACGCTTCTCAACGCGTCCATTAGCTTATTGCCAGTCTAATTGTAGGGCGATCTTCCGATCCCACGACAAATAACATGTTTGCCCGCGGCTACGCGCGCGATCTACACATTCGGCACTCGCGTTTACGATCTTATCGCGCATTCTACTCATTTTTATGATTTATTATCCCGTGGTGGATTTCATCCTCGACTCCGGAGGGGAATATGGAGTACACTCCATTAGCGGCTGCCTTTTCGATCACGTTAGATAGCATAATCACTTCGTCAACAAGTAAAGAATTTGTATCGTTATGTTTATTTTCGTCTCGTTTTCCAGCTGTCGCTTATTTCGCTGTTTCTTGACTTATTTTATCGCAAACTTTATTTCTCGTTCCCGATAGATCCTTCAGAATATTCTGTCCTTAAAACTTGCGGATACTTGCCACGACCATGTTGGATCATGACGTCAGAAGCGAGAAATAAAACTCTGAAAATTCTTGCCTGGCATTTTCACAGAAAAAGATATTCGATTAAAAGAATACTTGAGATCGCTTGAGTGTTCTTCTCAAGTGCTCAGTAAACTATCCTTTTCACTTAACAGTCGTAAAATCAACGTGATAGAAGCACAAGATAGTTTAAAGAGAAAGATTATATATCACGTTTTACAGTTATTTATTGACTATCGAGGGAAGAAAATTTTTCGGCATTTTACAAGCATATTCAAACGATTTCAAGTGTTCTTTCATACAAATATCTTTTTATTCGAAAATGGCGCGCAACAATTTTGAATGTACGTTTGCTCGCTTCTGCACTGAGAAAAAAATGTTTGACATTTGTAATTATAATCGTGCAAGATTCATCAAAAAAATATTTTTGAAGAATAACATTTTTGTAGTAAGAAAAATATTTTTTGTAAAGAAAAATTTTTCAAGTAGAACAATTTTTGTAGTAAGCGTTACTCTAGCGTTAGTGACAATAATCTTATATGCATGTTGCTACAACTAATTTAAATTTAGAATAATCATAATTTTTTACTAATTAATATTTAGCTATTCCTTTCTTTCAACGTGACGTCATCAACTAAAGAGTTTCACAGCAAAGAATCAGGAGCCTTAGCACTAGAAACACTGAACGGCCATCTTTGATCATTTTCACCTCTAAATTAATATCCTGTTCCTCGTGTAAAAAACAAAATTAAACTATGAATGCTCCAACAGAGCATAGAGATATTTGATGAAAAGTCAGGGGATCTTTCCAAATCCTGTCTCTTAACACAAGAAGCAGGATATTAATTAAATATACGGTTAAAAATGACTGCTTGGTGTTCTAACATTAATTCTCGTTCTTTCATCATTCAAGTGATGGTGAATAGATATCTTAACTAATTTTACTCAACACCGAAATCAGATTCAAAGTGAACGCTGTGTACAGAACGTTAATGAAGCCTTTGTTGTTTCAGGGTGACAGCGGCGGTCCGCTGGTCATGCAACGGCCGGACGGCAGATGGTTCTTAGTCGGGACCGTTTCTCATGGCATAAAATGCGCGGCCCCGTATCTACCGGGTGTGTACATGAGGACGACCTACTTTAAGCCCTGGCTGCACAGCATCACCGGCGTCTGAAGGGGGTCTCGTACTCTTTCGGTCGAGTCGCGTTTTACGCGACGTCACGCGCGAGCGGCACCCGTTTGCCATTCTGTATAAATGTACAAAGGAATACTAATTTATTTCTCCCATTTCCTCGGGTTAGAGCGTGCGAAAGCAATTAAGTAACACGCCTGCGGAGGAAGCCGCAGTGTCAGAGCGCTGTTTGGATTTTTAAATAACAACGAGACAATCTCGCGTCTTCTCCTCGTACGCGCCGTACGTGCGCGCTTTCCTATTAGCGCCACGGAAGCGCCCTTACAACACAAGCAACAACTCACACATCTCGTTCATACAAGCGGCGAGAAAAAGAGACAGAGAGGGGGAGAAAGGAAGAGAGGGAGAGAGAGGCGCGACACGGTGTTCTCGAGTTAATTAAACTTCGAAATAGGATTCCACGCGGAAGTGGAGCCGCGCGCGAGGAAATGCCGGCGCACAACCAGTGGCAACGACGTTGCGCTTATGCGTATCAATGTTTAAACTCGTCCTTACGTGTGCATATGTGTACGTGTGTGCGTGTGTGTATGTGTGTGTGCGCGCATACAGGTACTCTCTCTCACGGAGCCGGAGCTTTGAGGCGGATTCAGGGTGTGTGCGCAGCTGAAGCCCGCGAGTCATGAAGTCGGGTACCCGAGGTCCGAGCGACGGAGTCGTCTGTTTACTCGACGTTCTTCCCACGCGATCGCAGAAGAGGATGCAAATGTAACATACACGGTATCTCGCTATTCGCACCGGTGCTCTGCAAGCAACGAGCCTCTCGCGACGATTTAGAGACGATACACAGAGGAAAAAAATACTAGAAAATTTATTTATGGGTTACTTAAGGTCTATTTCTGTGAAGTGAAGCTCATTTATGTGAAATAAAGTTTGTTCCCGTGAAATAATCTGTATACCGTGCAAATAAATTGTCGAGTATCTCTTTCTCAGTGTATCTCCTCGGCAAGTATCTGTTCAGGCTCACGAGACGGAACTCGACCGCCGGACAGTTTGACCGCGGTCGGAATCCCGACTCCAAGTTTAATGAAGATTCATTCGAATTCACACTGAGATAAAAGCGTCACTGTCCGGAATACGTGCGTGAGCTTTGACGGCGTGTGACCTCGCGCGTTTCATACCCGACACGAATAAATTTCCAGTCACTCCACATTCCCTCCTCGTATTTCACACCTCTGTCTCGTCGACGGGGCGCCGACAATTGTCTCGAACAATTACATTTCGCACCAGCTCCGCGTGCACATACAATATAAGTATATAAAGACGAGCCGCCCAAACCTCTATTTATTATTCTCTCTTTCCCTCTCTTTTCATCTCTCGTTGTTAGACGTTATTTATTAAATACATTTTTTATACGACACACACAACGCGTGGATATTTTATCACATTCCACTCGGCGTACGGAAATAATAGATGCCGGCATCCTGACGTCACGGCACGCCAGGCATTCCTCGAGATGATACCCTCATTAAAAATAGCGACCAATTCTCCAAATCGATCGCACTTTTAATATCCCCTCAGTCATTACGTATGAATGACGTCATCTTTCACACGGACGATAACGCCATTCTTCCGGCAGTTCCCATAACTCTTCCTATTGTCCACGCGACACGTGCTCGAACAAAAAGGTCGTGACACCAATAAAGATCATCGGAACGGTAGCGTATAAAGCATCGGATACCTGCCTACGCGCTAATTCCGTAATGTATGTTTCATTTGCAACAAAAGCCGCAAGCCATTTTCGCAAAACAAATATTATTAGCGGCGATACCGTTGGCGTAATTTCACATTTTCTCTCTCTCTCTCTCTCTCTTTCTTTGAAAGAGAGAAACAGAGAGACGAAACAGAGAGACGAGATACGTCGATAGCGCTTTTGTTCTCCAAAAAGTCCGATTGCGTGTAATTTGATATTTATCATCTGTGGAGTAAAGGTTAAAACATACATTTCACGCTGAAGATCGTATCGCATGTGGATGGCAGTTCGCGATAATATCCTTCAATTTCACGATATTTCATTGTTATTTTTACTTTCGTATATTTTCTATTGTGATAAATTTGATGCATTTCCCATCGCTGTCTCATTACGTGGCGCGCATTGTTTTAATCTTGTATTTATTATCGTGAATGAAAGGATAAAGATAAAGAATGTAGATCTCTTTTAGCAAAAGGAAGCGAAATGTCACAAAGTCGATTAACATCTTCGCGAACTCTGCTATAAGTGTAGTCATGCGTGCAGTTTACAATTAATCCAACTAGGACGGAAGGAATTCCACGGAGCCACGGTTATCAATATCGCATTACGGACGCTGTTAATTTTCCTCACGAACTCGGGGAGATAAGGAGCTCGCGTAATGATGCGTATTAATTCGTAGAAAGTAAAACGCGCCTAACGATCACGTGGACACTGTACTGCACTGAAAGAAAAAAAATATCTAAAAAATAGTAAATGTTTCTTTAGTCGGCACTAATAACATATTTACTTAAATATACATTCTTTTATTTAAGTGTAAAACACTCTAAACATCAAAAAGTAAACCTACATAAACGCACTTTTACTTGCTTACAACTTCCGAAAAAATGATCGAAATTCACTTGTTTTCTTTTCAATCGGAGTTAAAAACACCGAGGAATATGAATCTATTAGTGCTTTTGCGATTTAACAAAATTGAAAAAAGCTATAATAAAAAAACATGTTTTTAAAAATAATAATGTTGATTTATATAAATTTTATCCATGTTTCGAGTTCTAGAACAATTGTTTTCATGAAAAGCTAAGATTTTCTTAAAGTTTTAAGAAAAAATTTTTTTTAGTATTTTATATTAGTATAAGTATATATATATATATATATATATATATATATATATATATGTGTGTGTGTGTGTGTGTGTGTGTATGTGTGTTATTAGTGCCTGCACCGCGAATATATATACATATTTATTATTTCTTAGATTTTTTTCTCTTAGTGTAGACAGAACGCATTGTATAACATTGACCATGAATTCACGATCACAAAAAGAGGTAATAAAATTCCGAGTATAAAAATTTTCGAATTAATTGATCCCATTCATATAAATTAAAATAGCCATGCGCACAGAGAAAAGCTTTCAAAGCGCCTTCATCGCTCAAATTAACGCTATCGCGTTTAATTTTAGCACAAATCTTTTTTCTTAGTTGGAAAATGTGACTCGATGCGCGTAAAAGTAATATTTAAAGGAAAATTCGCGTAGAATGCGTTGCATTGGGCGAATTATCTTCGAGCGAGTGTCTCTACAAATGTTCACGAATGAATGGCCAATGTCGCGTTTTCTCTTAGCGAGGACAGAAAGAAAAAGGACGTGTGTGGCCGACCGGCCGGCGACGACTCAAACCGAACGAGCACCATTGAGAATCGCATGTGGCGCGGCTAACCTCCAGGGAAAAATAAATTTCACCTGGACGTTAGTGAGAAAGAGAGAGAAAGAGAGAGAGAAAGAGAGAGAGTCGTCGCGACGTCTCCAGCAGTGTAAATTTCCGTTCGTGCGCGCGTTATTACACCGCGCGATGTAATACGCTACGGTGGCCGAAGTTTCGCGGAAGTCTGGGATCTGTTAGCCCCGCGACACGCAAGGTTGAGGTAACGTTTTTCGTACTAAAGCTTATGAGATGTCGTGAGCGGAAAAAAGAAAGGAAGGTGATTTAATGGTACAAATGTTGGGTTGATTCATAAGTGTGGATTTTTAAACAAAATTGAAATGCATTTTATTCTCGTTAAAAAGAATTTTAATCAATAATATATACGCCATTCTGTTCGATTATCTCTTGCCATCTCTCATGCAATTTCATAAAATTCTCGTAAAACTTTTGCGCTTCCCCCGCGAAGAAATGTTTCAAGTGATTTTCACATCTTCTAGACCTGTATCAATAGTCATTGCTTGAAACTTCTCTCAAATGAGATATTCAGATTTGAGCTTAGAGATGAGTTTTTCAGTTGATTTTCGTGATTACCGATACAATATCATATAATTCAACTGAAGAACTTGGATCTTATTCTGAATAAAAATCTGAGTATCTTACGTGAGATGACTACAAGTGACGATTATTAATATAAGTCCTAAAGAGGAGCGAAGTTTATACCATGACGGAAGTTTTTTCTGTAATGAGCGAAACAGATGATAATCAGAGAGGGCAACGTCGGGTGAATACAGTGAGAGAGGTGGAACATCTCAGCCAAATTCTCTCTCTTTCTCTCTAATACTTTTTACAGAAATAAAAAAGCACCAGACAAACTCATTACTGCCTTGCATTTTCAAGCCGCAATATAGACAGCTGCAGTTCATCAAACACTATCACACCACAAAATATGCTCTGAAGCGTTAGCTATTCAAGCATATATTATACAGTGTATGGAATTATCCTCCTAATACCAACATGCAAATGTCAACTAAAGATAAAAATCCGCGCGAATTTATGGATCAACTCAATATACATATGCATCTTGTATACTCACCTGACTTGCGGAATCCCGTCGCACAGGTGGTCGCACAGGTTGTCTCGTAGATAGACGACAAATGCGTCGACGACGTGTCTCGACGACGAGGATTTACGCTTATTCACTCGTTGATTCGCGTTCATTGTCTTCCTCTTTCGCCAGAGAATCCATCCGCTCGCTCAGTGCCCTTTCTGAAAAGAGAAGAGCGACGTTGCAATTAGATCTCTCTGAGGAGCTTATAATCGTCAGTTACGAAGATATTAAAGCTCAATGTTCAGAAAATGCGAGGAGGAACGACGAGAGCACTAGGAGAGCTGAATTTCATTCAGTTGGCAACTACTGACTGAATGGAAAACTCGAGGGAGTTTACGTGAACACATAAATAAAGCTCGAAATAAGCATAAATAAGCATAAAGCATAAATAAGCGTTTACGCTCCTAGTTTGATTTTATCTTGAAATTCTCTCGATTTGTTTGGCAAATAAATATCAACGCGAAAAACTATATAATCGAAAATATATGAAGCAATATAAACCTCCTACGCAAACTTTCGAAGCCAATTCGAGGCCGATACGAGGCGGTAGGAGTAGATATTTTTGTACAATATTTATCTAAGCCTTTCTCACATTTGCGCTGTTTCAGTTCTTACTTAGGTCCTCTTTGTTCTAAAGGCAAATAATTGACTGTTACAAGATATTAAATATCATCCGAGGTCGACGACCTCTCAATAAATCATATTTACTCTCGGACGATTAACATTTGCGCGTCAACGTGTGGTCAAGAGATAGCAGAATAATACTTTGTGGTATTTTGTTACACCCACAACAAAAAAAATATCTAACTCGTCGATATTGCCTTTGAAAGGTTATCGATCTAACGGTTATAATTCTGAACGGCTCGAGCTAGTTTTTAACAAATTGAGTCGAAATTGTAGCCCTGCTACCTGTCAACCTGAGTCCCCTAACATGCGTATTAGGAAAGATCAGTGTACACGAAAAAATACATACTGTATTCAAATAAATGTTATTTATTTCAAATATTTCATAAGTTTACATATCGACAAATCTATCTTGTGAGTTCATCATAAACATCAAAAAGTTAAATTCCAATCAAGAATATCAAATCAAGACAAAAATTCCATTTGCTTATTGTACAGAATCGAGCCAAATTTGTATTCGATGAAGATTTATAAAATTCTTATAAAAAGAATGAAATTTTTCTGAGTGCATGATCATTAGCTTCTCTATAATTTGTGATGAATATGTTTTAAGACTATTATCAAAAAAATATTGTTTGTCGAAGATAACCATTATTCGAAAAAAGAAAAGGAAACCAAGTAATCACTTTTCTCAGACAAATTATATTTTTCTCTATGTATGTTTGATATACATGGAAGATAAAGTTTTGCTTAGAACCTCTAAATAGCAGAAAACACACAAAATGCCATTTGCAGATCCTAAAAAGGACCTTTCGACAAAGGCAGTGGACGAAGCGTCAAATAGAATCAAAAGAGATAAGCCCTTTAGAGTATCAAAGTAGATGTTAAATTGAATATTGAGGTTAAAAATAGAAGCAAAATTTCGACTCGGGTGATTGTTTAAGATAAAAATACCAACACCTGGCCACGTATCTAACCTGGATATTTTTATTGTTTTGGGCTTTAACACGAATATTTAAACTTTCAACACACGATATATGTGTATATTCAATAATGTTCTCTCTCTATGCTAAAATTTTAAATATTCGTATTTAAAGACGAAAGAAATGCTCAGAGTACATGTATTAGTATTTATTTATCTTATACCTCGACGAAACGTATCCGAGTAAAAGTTGAAACGTGAAACGGATGGATAATTCAGTTCCTCGTCAAAGTACTCGTCAAAGTAGAATAAGCTTCCCTGCATCTCAAAGAGCATTCGAAGAGACGCTTGGCAGAGAGCTCTGGCATAAAAATCGCCTCTCGGAGTCTGGCCACGCTCAACAAGTCCTGATTTCGCAAACTGTTCCGCCATATATACCTTCCCCGGAAGATCCTGAAAGCACAGATCTTTGTGTAGTAGCGCGACAGAGCGAGCTTCATGAAAAATTCACATGTCGGTAAACGACTTGCGAGGTTTCTTGCCGGAAGTGAGGGTCGAGGGAGGACAGGGTGGTGTCGCGATCGTTTCTGCAAACTACCTGCGCATACTACGTAGTACGCGAGTCTCACGCCGGGGGTTTGCGGACGAGTATATGGAGCAGGCAGGAGCGAGCCCGCCCGGCGGGCACATCAGGATACCTTGGATCAATACGGCCAAGAGGGAATGAGATAACGGTGGCGTAAGGAGCGCGACGAGGAGAGAGCTAAAACGGTAGGTAGGTAGGTAGATAGGTAGATAGGGGTAGGTGAGCATCGACGTAGGCCAAGTGTCCGCAAGGATTCTGCCGCCAGGAGGTTACCCCGGGCAACGAATACTCGCGATTTTTGGGGAATATATCCCGGGTAAATGTAACGACCGGCGTCGGGAGGCCGGGGAAATCCCACGGCGCAAGCAACAACCCTCCGAGAGTCGCGTGGAACAAGATTATCACGTTATCTCTGACCTTTCACGAGACGGGCTCGTTGTACAGTGGACGTTACTACAGAGCCACGCGTGCTTCCTAAACGTATTTACCGATATTCCGGAGGATCCGGACGTTTGCAATTTGCGAACGAGATGAACCTGGTGTTTCAGCGTATGTATTGAGAGAGAGAAAGAGAAAGAGGGAGAGGCGCGACGTTAGATTCTTTTGCTATAGATATGTACGACGAAACAGTTGAATTTTTTCACTGTTAAGTACCCGCGCAATTTTGCCCTCTCTCTCGCTTCTGTTTTCTTCATTACTTATGCACCACGTGCACTATATCGCCGCACTATTCAATCGCAGTACACCATTCGTCATTCATTCGAGCGAGAGTGGCCGCGAGAGAGTAGAGCTGCGAGAATGACTCGAATGGACTCGTTCGAGTAGCTCTCCTCAGCCTGCTATCTCGGGCCGCTCGATAGGAGGCTGAAGATCTGAATGAACAAAATGTCACGTAGGTCGTGATCGGGTGGCGGGAAAAAAAGAAAAGAGAGAGGAGGTGAAGGTGGTGCAGGAGGAGGAGGAGGAGAGAAGAAGAGAAGACGAATCGACTGTGGCGCATGCGCCACCGTGTATATGCGCCCTTGTGACGGCAACCGGAACGACGTAGAAGTATAGATTGCCGGAGCGAGTGCGGCACGGACTCAGTCCTCCAGCGAGCTCCACCGAGGACTTGTTGATGCTGTGAAACCCGCCGAGAGGTATCCTGGTCTCTTCCTGGTCGAGAGGTGTGACGGCGTTCCAGGCGAGCTGATCGTTTTGTAAGTGAATCCCGGCGATTCGCCCGCAGAGGCGGTACTTTTAGATGTTTCGTCGTAATGCCGTGCACGTTACAACGCCCGTGTTTCGTCATAGTGTGTTATCCTGCACATTGCGCCTGTCCTTGACAGACTGGAGCAAATTCGCGGGCATGAAACGGAATGCGAGAACGATGAGATACGATCGGATCAGTTCGATGAGATTGAAAGGAGAAAAGGAGAGAGCACACTCGACGACGCGTCGCGGTATTTATAAGATTCGATCGGCACGATGAAAGGGCAGATTTGGGTCACAGGGAACTCGAACCGGGAAACGAGCTTATTGTACGCCGTAGGTCTTTGTGCCGCAAGTTTAGTTCGCAATAAGCTCGCGGTAACCTGCAATTCATTCCAGCGCGACACGCATCGGACGCAATTTCACCGTAGATGAAGAACACACGGAGAGAATGTTACGGTCTCTTTTCATATAAATTCTTTTCGATTTTATTGTTTCCAATAGCGCTGAAGTAGATTGTCAGTGAGAAATCCAAGGAATAATTAAACTAACAAATGTCTCACTGGTTCAGTTAGAATTCTAAATGTAATAGTTACAATTTATCACTGTTTTTTGCATCTACTAAAAAATTGTTTATGACATATATATAGAATTTACAGCAACGGTATTCTAGCAATATCTGCGAATAAATTTAGGTAGGTTTGAGGATCATATACTCGTTTGTCTCGTCTCTGGTCCTTTTTGTTCACCGCAGTCAATTCTAACAAGAAATACGACCGGCTTTAATCTGAACGAACGCCACAGAGACTTTCTTGTTAATTTCACAAATAGTTGAGATAAAAATTCTGTCCTTTGTCATCTATATCGATTAGATAGCAAACATATGCGATATCGCGGTGTTTGCTGATCATTCATTCATTTTGGTTAATTTCTCGCGTATCTGGATAATTCTCGCCATTACCGCAAGACCAACTTTCTGAAGGGAGGCCAATAGTACATTCCACTAGAAATATTTGCCCTTCAGTTCATAAAATATAAGTAGCAATACGTGAGACGAAAGGTAAGTCAACTACTGCAGAATGCCGATCTGCTGCTCGGTTACATGATTCTATAGTGAGTTCCACTATAAAATTCTCTCCGTGTGGATAAGATTAACGAGACAAATAAGAACTATCGATTATATACTCGAGGCTATCGCCGGCCTAACGTAACTCGTATCGTGTATCGAACTACTCATATCGTAAACTGCAATTAGTCCTTGACCGGAATGCAAAAGTCGCGCGTTACGTTTTTGCGTATATTTCTCGCTTAATTCATCGCGTCGAGGCATTTTCGACCTTCCGCACTACCGTGTGATGCGCGAAGCAATTACTCGTCGTTTCTGACCACGCGATGTAATCGCGATTCCTCTAAATAAGCAGGTAACTCAGGTGGAGCGCGGACAGCAGATTACTCCGGGGGGCATGCTCAGATATTAATTGCATAATTAACACCACGGCGAGGCCGCGGCATCTCTCTCGGCGGGCGCAGTATCTTATTAACAGTAAATCGCGCGAAACGAGAAATAAGTTCCCGAGGAAAGGCCGACGAAGACGCCGACGAATTGTACGTGGAATTCGCCGCTCGGTATTATGACATTCCCGAGTAGAAATGTAACTAACGGGCTGAATAAAAGCTAGTAGCTAGTTAGGACAAACTAGACTAAATTTTCCAGCTCGTTATACTAATTCGTCACTGATTGATTGTTCACTGAAATATGGAATCGGGTTGTTGGTTTAGTCAACCATTACATGTAAAATATGATAGAAAAAATGGCGTTGTCTATTCTAAAAAAATCCATCTACTATGCATCAGGACTCCGTCGTCGATTCGTCTTTCGAATATGTTTAACGTATTTCCGTTTAGAAACGTCTGATGGAGATCGTTTCGACATAACGTTGAATTCTTTAAATGGATTCTGCGATCCATATGCAGGTATATTTGACAACGAGATGAATAACTGTTTACACAGCTACCTCTAGTTTTGCAGAGGAAAAAGACATACACGCGATGTGATGTCACTGCTTATCCTTATCTCTCGCACGATTGCCACAAAAAACTGGCTCTTGTTTCTGTTTAAAGACGTATAAACGGATAAACGAATAAGCAAAGTCAAAGTTAGTAAACGGATGTACGTTTTCAAAAGTATGTGTAATCATAATTACTTTATTGTACGTGTGAACGTATATGTTAAAATAGTCTGAATGAACGTCTTTTCATTTATATAAACATAATATAAAGCTCTAATTACTACTTGCATTTTAAAGTAGCGAATCAAAATCGAGGTTACGTTAATTTCAAAAGAAATCTCATCTCGTTAAGAATCTCAAAAGAAGCAGAATTCAGCGTTATATTATTGGCTAGCAATTATTTGTGGTTTTTCATCCTATAACTGTAATTTCGTTTGTTTAATTATCAACTAGTTTATTTATTTAGTCACCAAGAGAATTGCAACATTACATTACTGACTGGTAGTGATGTTAGACAGAAATTTACTATCTCGTGGCTATGTAGACGAGGTTCAATTTCTCCTAAGGTTGCATCGTATCGCGAGAAAAGTAGCAAAAGCATTACGTCACACTAACATCTGTACGATAATCCGTGTAAAACGGGTTCGACGCTAACGGCTAAGTCTCGTCTTACGGATCACTGCTTGCAACAAAACCAGTCAGGTAAACAACACGAAGATAAATATGCGCCTGTGAGCGAGATACGCGCGGCAGAGGAAGCTGTGCTGCAGAATTCGTCGTCGTCGCGATTTCAACGGTAACGAATTCCTCTCTTTGGTTTTGCAATTCGATCGTCCCGTACTTTCGTTCTGCAATCCGTTCTTTTTGTAAGCTACATCGCGGACGCGTATCCAGTTTCGCGTAACGTATTCTAGGCGGATCCAATTGCAACGAACGATCGCCAACGACATTTTCAGACGCTTCCAATTTCGCGAAAAGGAACACGCGAGATAAAATATCCTTTCGGAAACCCTGTCGTGTCTAAGAAAACGTTTACACGAACGATGTGTCTTCACTGTGAATTCAAATATGTTAGCTGGGCTGAGCCACTTTTCATTTGTTTCTTTTACTTGTTCCAAGTCACGTTATTTGGCACGTTTAGACGCGTTTAAATTATAATTCAAACAGGTTCTTGAACGTGTTAAATGACGTGATTTAAAAGGAGAAACGTGTAAAAAGAGCTTCGGCCAAATGACACGCGTTGAAAAGTAACACGCCACTTGGACTCGCAGTGTTGGTCCGCGAATGTCGCGACCACATATACATCTCCACACTTTAGAGAAGATGACTTGTAATCGCTCTCGGATAAACGATCTTTTAAAGGCGATTGCGCACAGCGACGAGACACTTGCATAACAATGCGTAACGAGTTATCGGTCGCTCTTTAATAACGTCTCCCGTTAGAAGTGAGGCTCCTCCTGGGGGCACTTCAATACAAAGATTCAACGTGATTCCACTCGAGCGGCCTTCCTTTCACGAATGATTGCAGAGCGCCGAAGATCAGTACACCTCCAGCGGTATGAAGGCGTGTGCGGTGATTACGACGCTGGTGCTGGTGGCGAACACGGCGCACATCGGCGTCGAGGCGTGGGGCGGCCTCTTCAACCGCTTCAGCCCCGAGATGCTGTCTAATCTCGGGTACGGCGGTCACGGCAGCTATATGAACCGTCCTGGGCTATTACAGGTATGTGGAAAAGTGTAGCCTTTACCGCGCCAACGCCCGATGGCATTTTCATCGGCAGCGCCTTTTAGATTTCCGTAGCTCGTCTAAAAAGACATCGCAGGGGGTGCGCGGAAAAGACGTTCCAATCTATCGACCGCCCCTCTAGACAAAGTCTCCCTCCTTCTTTCTCGAGTGCCAATAATCAGGACTCTCAAGTTCCTTCGTATCGTTTTATAAGTCTCTCCAGAGACTTACTTCGAATCTTTATCGAACGCTCCAGATTTCCCGAATGTTTCGCGAACGTATTCGAAGACCTCAGGGGTAACAACTCTGAGAAAAACATGACACAATGGCAACTGTACACTGAGAAAGAAGTACTTGAACATTTATTTGCGGAACATGCAATTTATTTCTGTGAAATAAGCTTTATTTCTGTGAAATAAGATTTATTTCTGTGAAATAAGATTTATTTCTACAGAACTTTCATTCCACACAAAGAAATTTTCAAGTTTTTTCTCTCAGTGTATAAGTGACGACAACTATATGAATTTTATATGCAGAATTATCATGTATTGTATAGTTTAATAAACTATTATTATTATTAATTTAATAAACGATTTTTTGTAGTTATTGCAATTAAAGTTTTAGTTGTAATAACTATAAAATAGTTTGTTAAATTACGTACTACACATGAATTCTACGTACATTTAGAAAAAAATACTTGAAAATTTATTTGTATGGAATATAAAGTTCATTTTTGTAATATAAAGTTTATCTCTGTAAATAAACTTTATATTCCACAAATAAATTTTCAGATATTTTTTTTTTCACGCACAAAACTCGTATAGTTGGTCGTACTGGGAAGAAGATACTTGAAAATTCACTTGTCAGACATAAAGTTTATTCGCCGAATTAAAATTCTATATTTAGAAATATACTTTATATCCCATGAAATGAATTTTAATGTATTTTGGCTCAGTGCTATGAAATCGCCATCAACGCGCCTTTTTCTCTGAGCGTGAGGATGAAAATCTCACAGCTTCTGCGTTTCTCGTGATTTGATTTAATTGGCGGTATCCTGCCGCAATATACGGGTCACGCACGATCGATACTTCATTTTCGAGCAGCGTGCGCTCGCACTTGCATAACCACCGTGAGGAACTCCCCAGTGGCCGCGTTTATTTCGCTTTTCCATTCGACGTCGTTCGCGAATTAACCTCGAGATTGCGATCCGGAGATTGAGTAAAATCGCCCCCGCGGCGCACCAAGAGTTACTGTTACTGCAGAAACTTTTACTGCGTCTCAGCCGCAGGTAGAGTATAATATAATCCCCCGTTTATTTGAGCTCAATAATATCCGCGCGCCTTTCAATTTGCAACTTCACTCGCTTACGTGAGATAATCTCCAGCGTCGCGTGCGTAATTCCAGCAAGTCACACAAATTTTTTTTATTAAATTAAAATATGTGTGATTATGTTGGTGATGATTATTTTATTTTGCACACTTGCTCGCCTAAATAAAATCAATCGTGCAAAGTAGAAGTTACATAATAAATCTACGAAAGGAAACGAGCGCGCGGGTCGCGCACTCGACTCCTCCGCGAAAGACGAGACAAAAATACACCAAGACGCGATAAACATCGATTTCCGCAAGATTGAACGCGTGAGCAACCCTGACAGCTGGTGATAGATGACCGAGAGGAGTGAGAACCGGGAAAGGAAGAAAAATCGCCGTTCCTCGGAGATTACGACGCAACCCGCGCGGGTGTCGTTTTGTCTTACGTATCGGATATTCCATTACGTGGAGTGTCTTCAAAGTTCCGTGCTCGAGTTTAACAATAGAATTCTCCCTGCGTACTTGAATGGGAATTTAGATGAGTTTTCCTTCCGACAGTTAATCAATGTCAGTTTAAAATGCGGAACAGAAATTGTCTGTTTTTTCAAATTGCCGCTGTGTTTTCGAGCTATAATTTACTCACTTCTTAATCCGTTTCAAAGCTCCTGTGCCTTCGCCGAGGCTATCTTGATTAATGACGTTCGAAGCGAGAAAACGCGTGCTTCAAATTCTTGCGGTTGTGTCCATAAAATAACACTTGTGATCGATTGTCAACACGTGTAAAATATCCCTTTCTTTTCGCCCCAACAATCAATAAACAACCATAAAATTCACGTAACAAAATCACAAGAAAAAATAAAAACAAAGCTTGCATGTCACGTTAATTTTATTTTGCATATTTGCTCGCCCAAATAAAAGCAATCGTGCAAAGTAGAAGTTACGTAATAAATCTACTTATTGACTGTTAAAACAAAAGAAAAGTTTCAAAAGATTTTACAAATATGCTCAATCAATCTCAAGGATCACTTTATGAATATATCCTCTTATTTCAGTATAATTTTCGCAAGAATTTTGAACATGCGTTTTCTCGCTTCTAACCAGGAGCCTTAAACGATTTGTCTCCTGTTGATCCTGTAAATCAATTTGATTAAAAACGTAATTTCAAAATTCGATGTATCAAGAATGCCCATAATTCTAAAATAATACATTTCACACGAAGCAGTCACTCTCGGAAGGATATAGCGGCATGTACGGGGAAGGTTCGGAGTCTACGGAAGAGCCTTGTTATGAGAGGAAATGCGTGTACAACGATCATTGCTGCCCGGGCTCCATTTGCGTCAATATCGATGGAGGTAAATAAAGCAGTGAACGTTTCACACGAAAAAAAACTCTAATAATTTTGGAATTTAATCTACATTATAAGAGCCAATTAAAAATTACAAAGATATCCTATTTTTTTTTTGGAATCTTCCATGAGAAAAAGAGAGAGAGAGAGAGAAAATGATCGCAAATTGTATATTCCAGTTGTCGGAACGTGCGTCGAGGACTTCGGAATGAAACAGGGCGAGCTGTGCAGAAGGGACAACGACTGTGAGACCGGCTTAATGTGTCAGCAGATTCCAGGACGCGACGCGAGATCATGTCAACCACCGACAACTTCGAACAAGCTGTATAGTGAGTTGAAGGGCTTTATCTTGGGAAAATCGGAAATACAGTTTCGCAAATGTCAACATAAATGATTTTATCTATTGCAGATGAGGAATGCACCATGTCGAGCGAATGTGACATCAGCCGCGGACTGTGCTGTCAGCTGCAAAGACGACATCGGCAAACACCCAGAAAGGTAACAGTCTAAATCCGTCGTCTCGTTTGTGAAATTCGTAATATACTCATGGGAGAAAAAGAGTTTGGTTTGATTAACTGAATGTCTGGTGAGATATGAATGAACCAGAAATTCCGGCTGAAGTCACTAGGATTCCTGATTAATCAGAACCTGCAATTGTTCAAATTAATCGGATTAACTCAATAATATAGTTAATCCAAACAGACTATTCTTTCCGCGAGAGAATCTAAAAATCTAAAATCTCTGAAAAGAGTAAATCCGAAAATATTTAAAAATGAAAAGAAAAATCTCTTCTTTCTAATATCACTTTTTATAACAACAATTTTTTCAAAAGTAATGTTAGTTACTTTCTTAGTGATTCAAAATTTTCATATTTCCAGGAAGTGTCAGTCCCTGAGTCCCTGAATTTTCGAAAAACCTCACACGATAATTGACTAATATAAATAAATTAATTATTCAACCAGACTTTTTTTCAAAAGCTTTTCGATACAATCTTGACGACTTTTATCCTGCTATCTCCTATCAATTCTTTGATTAATTCGAAACTCTACATCGTAGGTCTGCTCGTACTTCAAGGATGCCTTAGTTTGCATCGGGCCGGTGGCGACGGACCAGATTAAGTCTGTCATCCAGTACACCTCCGGCGAGAAACGGATCACCGGACAGGGCAACCGGATGTTCAAGCGGATGCCGTTCGCCTAAACGCTCCGCTCTTGTACCTGGCGGCACGATGAAGGGGAAGTATACTCTGATAAGCTACAAGAAAATCAAATCCTCCTTTAGTCGTTGTGAAGAGTACCTAGGCTAAGTCTGTCGACTCGGCATTATCTCGATTTCCTTCCTAGTCCTGACACACACACACACAACACACACACACACACATATATATATATATATACACATACATACTCCTCCACGTCAATAATACATCGGGAAGTATATAGATATTCCAATATATAACGACAGAGAGCATTAAAAGAGCCATACGACGAGAAGTGAGACTAAGTGTTACCTCGGAGAATAGAGACTCGCGTATGGCGCGATGCGCCTTCGAGGTTGCTTCTTCCTCGAATAGCGCGACTGACAAAAAGTATAAACACATATCATAGTAGTCCGTCTGGTAGGTCTCTAAGGAATAAGGGACATGCTAGAGTAATCGTGATAAGGAAGAGCGCGTGACGAATAAGAGCGCCGTTCGACAAAGATGTTTCTTAATGATTTTTAGAGGTAAGGTATATGGATCGTTTGTGTGTGTGTGAGAGAGAGAGAGAGAGAGAGAGAGAGAGAGAGAGAGAGAGAGAGAGAAAGAACGAAAGAGAAGAAGAAGGGAAAGAAAGGAAAGAATCATCAGACAATTTGTCTGTTGCCGGTCCGTCACCGGCTGATGTTTCCTTTTCGAGATGTAGTGAGAGATTAGCGGATCACTTAGTCGTTCGTGATAAGCCGTGGTTACAGTATAGTAAAGATAAGTACGAGAAAGAGAATAGGACGGGGAGGCGTGCACAAACGAAGATCGCAAGTACGTTGTTATCGTCGCAGTGTCATCACTGTCCAATTCCGTTCCGTTAGTCGACGATAATTTCTCTTGCGCTGTACAAATCGAGAAAGTTCATCTTACTCGGGGACTCCCGAGGCGATGTAACGAGATACTCCCAACGAAACGCTGACACAACGATGTTGGTCGGAATACGTTACGAGTTGTAATCCACATCTTTAGTTAAGGATCGAGAGATCCCGACAAAAGTCAGGATCAGCCAACAATTTCGAGGCCGTGGCGAGAAGTACACTCTTCGGTGGCTGACTTGGGATCCTCTATGGGAAGATCAACGGGAAGGTCTCTTGTGATGAAGAAGAAATTGAGATAAACTCGCCCTGGAGGAGAATAGCATTCTCAATCGTGAAAGTATCTTCTAGCTTATAGCTCTGGGGTGATTCTCAGTCATCAATTGTATAATCGATCGTAGAAGATAAAGAGAACACGCAGATCCTGAGAGAAACCGACGAGTGTGCTGTCGCGCGTCCCGTTGCACATTCAAACGCACAGATCGTAGTACTCGTTCTTTTTCCCGAATGGTCGTCCGGCGTACAATATTGCGGAGAAGGACGCGAGACGTCGCGTGACGCGAAAAGTCTCAACGGTGAGAGAAATATTTTCTACGAGGAAGAGCTGAAAAAAGGCGTAATCGATGCACTAGCTCGTAATCCGGTCGATGTTTTCGTGAGTCTAACCTTTAGGAGTCGTATTACTTAGACGTTTACCCAACCATGTCAGATAATATTACATATTTACCCGTATTTCTCCCCTCCCCCCCGAAAGAACTTCGCACTATCAGTAACGTTGTACTCGTAATAGTGTTAAGTCGTATCGTGGAGTTGCAGAAAGAAGTTGCATTTTAACGTGGCAGGATTATCACATCGTAAACGGACACATATCAAAGAAGGAGGAAGTCGCTTCGCTAGCTTATATTCTCAGAGAGATATATATATATATATAGTGTTAAATAAATATATATACATATATATACGTATATACGGTGACAAAGAATAACAATGAAGCACTTTAACTCTTAGTGGAAAAAAGAAAACATAAAATCTAGGTGTGCGTTATTATTGTTCGTTTAAAAAAGCAAACAAGAAGAAAAAGAGAGAAGACACGGGATAAAACCCAAATGAGAGTAATAATAAAGGAGGGAAAGTTACTAAAGTATCGCGGAAATCGCTCTGTTAAGTATTAATCGCGGAAATCGCTCTATCGAGTAATAATATCGTGGAAATCGCTCCGTTAACTCTACTAACGTTAATGAAATCGTAATACTAAATATATAATTGTATCTGTGGCTACCCCGTTATGTGAAATATTACTCTGTGGAAATTCGTTAATATTAATCGTTACTCGTCGGAGAAAGCTCAACGTTACGGCGATGCTCGCTCGAGATGTCGCGCAACGTTCTTTCTAAAGCGTGGCAGACGCAATAACGTCGTGAGCGACGAACGCGTTCGAGATCGTGACGAGATTTATGAATGCGCGATCGTGCGAAAAGCGCCAAGTTGAGCGCTTTACGAAGACCACGTTCGCGCACGATTTAGCAAGAATAGCGAGCAACGACGATGCTCTAAGTATGCTTCCCAGTATGCGTAGAGAGTACCTGTCACAACTGTCTTGTTAAGAAAGAAAGGAGGAAGGAAGGAAGAAGGAAAGAAAAGTGTGAGAAAAGCTCTCAGCGAACCGTCGCTTTTCACGCCACTGGTGCTACAATCGCCGAGAGAGTCCCCTGACGGCATTATTACGATTGTAATCCTCTAACTCTCGATACTTCCCAGAAACCAAAGAAAAAAAAAGAGAAACGTTAACCTACCTGTGTAAGTGAAACTCAAAACATATCATGCGGAATGCCTAATGCATTTAAGAGAGTTCTAAATATGAATGTTAACTACGAGAGATATATATATATATATTATACACATAAATATTATATCCTATTGAAATTATATTTTTATCTTCGATCCGTATTATATGTATACCTAAGCTCTCTACATATTTACACAGTATTCTTATATTTTCTCGAGGTGTATATATATATACGCACATGTATATATATACCTATAAAGTATACATAACATATTACCCACCCTGCTATATCGTACGTATGTGATGTTCCAATGTGAACTCGCGATTTGACAATGATTTTCTCACCTACACACGCGCGCGTGTAATTCCGTTGTCTTATATGTGAGATTATTTGCAGGCCGATGAATCAATTTTGATCATAATTGTGCGAGTGTATTTTCCTCGTTTATCCGGTGTCAACTGTTTAAATAGTTTCTAAAAAATGTAGCTATTTAAAGTGAAATATGTTGAGCCTTGAGAATTTTCGATTACGAACTGCTCCTTTAGCTAATTCAGTTTCGAAGACACTATGAAAGTTGCATCACATATAATGTCAATTATATGAATATTACAAGTACTTCGAATTTCAATATAAATACTATTATTTATTCATCTAATAAGTATGGAATGAAGTATGAAATTATCTAAATACGCATTGAAATTGTAATTGTTTGTTTGGGTACAATATGTTAATATTGTATCCTACCGCCGCATGTGAAATGATACTCTAAATGTTTGCGTAAAGTCTGTATATCGTAAAATCGATTGCTAATTTCTTCAATGGCTATGCGTCTTGTCCTATCGAGTTCTGATCAAAGTTCGTATATCGTATAGCTTCCTACGTATATTTTTCTTTCTCAAAGATCTCCGTTTCTCTCCTTTCTCTTAGTCGGGCTAAGGAAACGATTGAAGTAAAATCGAGATGTTGTGAACTGCACACAAAACAAAATACATATCATAGCTTGTAAGACTCTTTGCCTTGTAAGGAAGTTCGGAACGCATGTTCACAAAGCGGAACACGAGGTGGTGGCGAATAGATACATACGTACATATATATGTACGAGCTATCGCAGGTCTTAAGGGAGTTCGGCCGTTTGGCCGTTGAGTCGAAAGTACCTCTGTCGAAAGAATTAATTAATCCCAGCGTAAACTTTATGTGTATGACCTATATGTAAATGTGTATCGTTCAAAATTACAATATATAAAAAAAAGAGTTCTAATAGCTAAATGTGAAATACATGATGGTGCATACGAAATAAAACGATTATATTTCTGTCATTCCTTCTGGCTGTCAAGTATTTTCTCCTCGAATACACACTCGCGATTGAGATATTTGGGTTTAAATTGTAAAATATCGTGTTATACTTTTGCGACAGAATTCGATAGGCATTCTACTTTTAATTTTATCTAAACGTCATTAGACACTGCTTGCACATTTGCACTTGTTCATCTACATCTGACTACTCCAGATTATCAATTTTCACTTCATGCTCCAATTCAGATGAAACAATTTTCTTTGTGTAGTTGTTATCTTTGCCTATATAGTGGAATTTACATTATCATTATCATCCTTTATGATCTTTATCATTATGATCTTTTGTGAAGAGATGAAATAGTTATAACTCTGCTGTTTGCTTTGTTTCTGAACATTGTGTTGTCAAATCTTTATCAAAAGTATAAAATATCATTGTTATTAGTAACTGCAGATGTATCATCTAATTATTTAATGGAATCATTAAAGAAATTCTCGATTAGATAAAGTATCAACAAGTAATTTTACATGCTATATAATATTGAAAATATTTGAAGAAAATTCAAATAAATAAGTGTATACATATATGTGCGATGTAAAATTAGATGATATAAAGATAGATATAGATGAAAACTTTCTTTAGATAATATACTATCATCTATAAAACATCTACATAGATATCTATCTCATAGATTTAGATGTCTATGTATCTATTTAGATATCTATCTATCTCAATCCCTATAAACGTATGTCACATATACATGTGCATATGTTTATAGTAAACACAAAGTATCATCTATATTACAATGTCAGCTCAATCATATGATATATTATGTAACTGTTACTTTGTTATATAACAAAATATATAATATACTATATGATTGAGCTGACATTGTAATATCGATGATACTTTGTGTTTACTGGACTTATATATCAGTCTCTTCAAATATTTTCCATGTTACATGGCATGTAAAATTACTCAAACAGCACTTTCTTGAACTTCTTTAATAATTAAACAATGAAACACTATTATCTATATCTACAAAACACCTATACATATGAGCATCCCCAAATATTTTTCATATTCTAATTCTTTATGTATTTCTTCACAGACATGATTCTCACCTGAATTCTGTCGCAAGTTCTAGTAAATTATTTCACGTAGGCTGTGGGACCTTGATATGATCAGGATGTACACGATTCGGTAAATATATTCTCATCTTTTTTTAATATTTGTTCACACTTACCCCGCCATGATGCTTGTTCTTCGCCGAGCAAGTTCTCGATCTCCTGTAAAATCTCACGACATGAATTGGGTCAATTCTTATCGATCCACCTGTCTCTTATAGAAATAATGGGAGAAGTTTCGACATACCTCCTCGTGACGCAATACTTTGCTCGTTCTTTCGGGATAACGGCGGACAAAAGAATGATTAAAACTACGAAATAAACAGTATGTGCGAACGGAGTTGCGACGCGAACTTATCCGCGAGTGAAATTCATATCTCAACAATCGCCGCTTTGTATCGATCGAAGATCCATATCGATTTCTCTCGCGCCCTGTTTGAACTGCGTAAAAAATTGACATTAGAATTCAAAGACACATTCCTACAATCGAACAAGTGAGCATTAATTTTTTAATTAATTGATATGTTACGAATAAAATGTTATTTAATTTATTTTTGTTGAAGTGAAAAATGTATATGTTTTGATAATTCACAAATTCATCTCTGATGTTGGGCGATTATAAAGACATCGCAACGCCACCTACCATTAACTTTATTAACGCTCTTTCGTTGCGGGTAAAATAGTTCAATTACCTATATTTCTGATATGTATACGCAACATGGACATTTCGCGTTTTCTGCACGACACGTTCTTTAGGTTATATGCCGTGCGACTACTTTACAGATGCCTCGAGGCATTCGCGCGGTTTCACCAACGTTTGACTTAAGCCTCTCAAAAAATTCATGGACTGGATGTAACATTTTCTCTCACATGTAATATGATAGTCATATTTTCGTACAAGTCTCCTGAACATTGTCAATTGTCAAAACTGCATGATTGGAAATGATGACGCTACGTCTGTTTGACTGCCAGGTAAGAAAGAATATGCCCAGAAATTATATTCATGAAAGGAACTGATGTGTTTTTCACACATATACACGTCAAATATCTTTCACTCGACAAATTTTATGCTACCATGCTCGCAACAACATTGTACAATAGTGAAAACAGATTTGAAATTCTTAGGTCTACTGTTTCAGGATTATCCAGCTCTGGATGCGATACCAAACATGTACACAGAGAGTAGTGAAATAGAGAATTATGATTACCTACGAGAATGCATTGGTAATCTGGAAAGTAAAGAATCTGGTGTCAACTTGTCGGCTACTTCCACTAGTATCTCAGACATTGGCTTACAAGGAAACAGTTTAGATGATGTTAACTTGAGCAACATTGATTTTAATTTTATAAAAATTGAGAACTTGCTCTTGCAAAATGTTGAGGAATCTAATAGCTGCACAAAGAATAAGGAGGTAAAGCAGGAGAAGTCAGTGGATATCGATATTCCAGATTCTGTCGAGAATTTTGACACAGTGAGTCTGGATTACAACACTTTCTCGAATTTCTCTAATAATACTATAAAACTGAAATCAGGTGATGCACCAACAGTTATTGATAACAATGACTCTCATACTTTTGACAAAGATTTAACAGCACAGTGTCCAGAAACAAAGCAATCAACTGAGTTCTATAGCTGTCCCATCAAACCTACAACAGATGATAATCGTGATATAAATTCTAATACAGACAAAGATAGCAACTGCACAACTGTTCAAACTATTTTGTCTGAGTTAAAACATGGAATAAAAATTGATAATTTGGAACAGTCAGATGTAGATGGACAAGTGCAAACATGTGAACAGTGTCTGATGACATTTAGATATAAGAGGCACTTGGACCGTCATTTGGAAGGTCATAAAAAAAACAATTGTCCTCATTGCAATGGCAAATTTGCCAGACGGAAGCATCTGGAGGCACACTTGTTTCGTGCACATGGAGAAAGGATTGTCAAGCATCCGTATCTGTGTGATGTCTGCCCTAGAAGCTTTCCAAAACGCATCCTTCTAAACCATCACAGAGCAAAGCATAATTATCAAAGTGGCAGAGTATGTTCAGAATGTGGAGATATGATAAAAGCAGATATAGATAATAAGGAGCACGAGAAGAACTATTGTAAGAAAAAGCAATTCAAGTGTGAACAATGTTCGCAAACGTTTAGCATCGAGCAGACGTATTTATCTCATATGCAGAATCACAATAATCACAAGTGTCCCAACTGCGACGTCAGCTTTGCGTCTAAAAAGAAAGCTCACGAACACTTCAAAGCGGTTCATACTCCGAAATCAAGCGAGTCTGAAACGACAAATAATGGTGAGTGTTAACAAGATAATCAGACGTCTCATTTTTCCCGGGACAGTACCGCTTTTTTACTCTTTATTTTGGAATTTCCCGGATGCTATCCAGAACGCCAATTTATCTCAGTTTGTCCTAGCTCAGAGAATCCTTAAAATGCTTCTGATAAAGAAGGACCTTTTTAAGAAAATTTACAGCTCTGTACTGGAAATAATCTAAGAAATACTAAGTATTTATTTGGTGAATATTAATGACATATATATATATATATATATATATATATATATATATATGTATATATATATATATATATATATATATATATATATATATATTTATTTACTTTTACTCATAAAATATTTTTCAAATAAAAAAATTATTAGAGAACCCATCAAATAAATATATATATTTACTATTTTTTAGAAATCTTTTCTTAGTATAGTAGATACAATAGCTTTACTTTGTCTTCTTAATTTTAAGTAAATATAATAATTTTATCGTAGTAATGTCTATTTTTACTGTATCTAACAAGCTTTCATTTAAATTATTTTTCATGTGCCTATAAATAAAATATTCTTTTGTATTTGTGTACATAAAATTATGTATATAAAATTTTTAATAATCTTTCCTCTCTATCTCGCCTCTGAACATTTACAAAATATCCCGGATTTGGAGCTGGAAAATCTGTGGTCATCTTAATATTAAAATTGCACTAACGAAATCATTTTTTCATCGGGTCACTTATCATGCAATGATGATGTTTCACAGATTCACATTATTGTGGCAGCTGCAGACACAAGTTCGTCAAAAAGGATGACTACTTTCGGCATTTGGAGTCAGCATTGCATCTCAATAAAGTCAATAGGGAAGCACCTATAAAAGCTATATTTTCGTGCACGATCTGCTCGAAAAAATTATTCACGCAACGGGCCTTGGATCAGCATATCAGGCGCATACACAAGGGCGAGAAGCGATTTGCCTGCGATATGTACGGTTGCACGTTCCAGTGCGCCAGACGAACGGACCTGGACAGACATAAGCATCTGCATGTGGAGGAGCGGAACGTTGTATGCGAGCACTGCGGCAAAACGTTTACCAGCGTCAGCATTCTCAAGGATCACGTGCTTTACATTCATAGCAAAGAGCGGCAATTCATATGTGAGGAGTGCGGCAAGGCGTTCAAGAGGAACAGTTTACTTAAGAGACACAAACTATCGCACGCACAGCACCGGCCGTTTGTCTGTATGCAGTGTAGCACTGCATTCAAACGTTCACATCATCTCACTCGTCATATGGAATCCTGTCACAGAATTACTCTGGAAAAGAAGAAAAAGGTAATGCTCTCGGAAAACCTTATATCATTTATTCGCGTATGTACTTTCGACTTATTATCTTTTTGTTATAATAAGTGTGTATATTAATATTGTGACAAATTTTTAATTTAAATTTATTCTTTTGTGTCTCCGAATATAGGTGATGAAGCTTATGAAAACAGAAGATGGTAATCTTGTGCCAGTGCCAGAAAAACCAAAACGATCAAAGTCTAGTAAGATAAAAACTAAGAAAGAGCGCAAATCATCTGTAAAGAAAAAGGAAAAAGATCATTTGGTTACAAATCCAAATGAGAAAATTGCGGGTATTGACTTTCAACCACAGAATCAGCCTTCATCGACAAACTCTGAGGAAAACTCTGAATGCCCGAACTTGGCATTAGAACTTTCAAATTTGCCTGCAATCGATTCTATGCCGCAAGTTGTCTCGCTAGTAGATGTTAATACAGGACAAATGTTGACAGTGCAACTCACTAATTCGGAATTGTTATCGGATAATGAACTCGTTAATCAGTTCGAAACGAATTGCAATGAGATGTTGAATTTGCCGGATTATCAAGATATAGAATTTCAAAATAGTCTTTTGAGCGCGGATCAAGCGTGTTACGACAGTACGAGTTATTCGGAGGTTCCGTTGGAAAATATCGAGGATTCAATTCCGCTTATGAATAACAATTGTAAAATAGAAGAAATAGAGAGATATTTGATACGCGAATTTTCGTCGTTTTATAATCTTTAAATATTTGCGAAATTAAATGATTTTGTATACACATAAGTGAGACAGTTGTGTTTGCTCAAATTTTGAATCCGTTGTAGTTTTATTCGAATGCAAAATCTAGACATTGTTACTTTGTTAATGACAAAGAATATTACGGAAATTTTATAAAGTATACATACATATTTCTTAATTTATTTTACATCGCGAAACAATTTAACACTTGATTTTAATTCTTAAAGATAATATGTATTTTTAATATTATGTATATTTTTCGTACAAAACAAATTTCACTACCTCGTAAAATAAGCAAGCACTTGAATCGTACTCTTAAAAATGTCGGCACATCGCATATGTACATACGTAGAAATATAAAAAAAAATGTATAGGTGTTCTATCTTTAATATTTTAATGATCGATAGATATACGTAAAACATGTGATAATATTAGATATATGTGATTTCTATTTAATTCTCTCTTTTTCTCTCTTTCTCTGTAATATATATAGTTAATATATCATTGAGCAGTTTTATGATATTTCAAATACACATCATATAACATCACCAACTGTAAAATTTATTTATCAACTTTTTCTTTGTACAAATATAAATGTTATAGATATATACACAATCGAGTACACTAATGTTTCCCACTAATGATAAATAATATATCAGAATATAGTAATCTTATTATATATACTGAGATTTATTCTTCATAAAATAAAAGTTTTTAATAATATCATGTAACCATATCAATATATAATAATTACAAGTATATAATTATTATATATATAATAAGTAAAGCCATTTCTATGTAGAAGTGTATCATTGATTGCAAGAATTAAACAACATTAATGTGGCTGATTGCGCAACTGTTATATTTTTTGAACAGAGCATTAGATAAAATCGCACTTTGTGTAATTTCTTATTGTTCTAAGTATAACAAAATTGTAATTTCTATGTTGTATGTGTAAGGGAATGCTTGTTTTAATTATATGTCAGCTATGTAGCTGTTTCACACAATTATTAAATGCAACAATGTAAAAACAAATATAATGGCATGTTCCTTGGATTAATATTGCTTTAAACCTGATGATACCTAAAAAACACTACTATATAATACTAAAATTCAAACATTTCATCGTATTCATGTTTATTAAGACTCTTGGTTATTCATCGCGCAACTCTTGATTGATGACGTCAGAAGAAAGGAAATGCATTCCTAAAATCCCTGCGAAGTACGTTGGATTAAAAATATATATCCACAAGATGACGTAACCGATTAAGCACACTCTAAAATTCCGGATATTTTCCTTTTATTCTAATCAATATAAAATAATTATAAGATTAATGTGACATGCAATTTTTCTTTTTAAAAATGTCTAAATTTTCTTATTGTATTATGTTCATTTTACGATTATTTATTGATTGCTAGAGCAAAAAAACATATTCGAGGTATTTAGATATGTACTTACTAATTGCAAATGTCATTTTTTTAATATATCTATTTCGACACACTTTATAGGAATTTTAGACATGCATTTCTTTTTTTCTTATAATACATCATAAATCAAGATGACCGCGGCAAATAGCCAATAACCTTAAAATAATTTATATTATTTCATTGGATTTAAAAATATTTAAAAGTGAAAAATATATTTTAGCTAGTGATTATGCACTGTTTTTATGGAAACCGTTATTTTTCACTTCCTTGTTTAGTTTTATTTGTTCCCATTTTTCGTCGTTTTCATGAAGCAAACCTGTATGCAAGTAGACCCACTAGAACAGCGGCAGATGCTCCTCCGACTAAACCCCACAAAGTTCTGTTAGTTTGCCATTTCTCTTCAACTGTAATTTTCTTTGAGGTATTGGTGTTATTTGTACCCAACATTTTACGATATAAATGTTTTTCGTGAAGAGCATCCTTAGCATTCTTCTCCTTTAAAATTGCTAATTCTGCTTGTATGACTCTTAATTCCGGCTCTAATTTCGCAGCTTGCAGCAAAGTTGTATAAGCTTGCGCATGTTCTCCTTTGTAATGTAATATTTTTCCTACAAGCAGAAAAAGAGAAATATGTACAGAAATTATATTCTTATGTTCTGAAAATTTAGAAATAAGTCTGTGAGAAGGAAGAACATAATACTGACTTATTTAAAATTAGGAAAACATCAGGTTTTTCCATACCTTTCCTAAATAAGGCTTTTACATTTCTTGGTTGGAAGCTCAGGACATTTTCTACACTCTCCAAGGCCACTTCGTAGGCTTGTATCTTCATTTGCGAGACTGCTAAATTATTGTATACTTTTATGCGATCTTCCAATAAATCCTGCAAGTCGGCATCATCAATTGTCTCCATGTCGTCTAAACTCCAAAATGTATTAGTCTTTGGTGATAGAAAATCTAATGCTCTTCGATAACATTGTATTGCAAGAGTTGGCTCATTCCGAGAAAACCACCAATTTCCACGTTCTCGTTTCTTGTTGCTTCATAAACAAATGTTTAAACATTATAGATGACAATGATAAATTGAAATATGTGCAAGCAAAATTACACTCTTCAGTACTTGAAGCAAAAGAGTACAATACAAAAGAGTAAATGTTAATTCTCTACTATATATATATGGTTGATGAATAAAATGATTACCCTAATTCCATTCTTTGCTTAATACTTAGTGTTTCTACATCAGTCTCTAATTCAGTAGCTTTCAATTCAACTGTATAGGTAATAACAGTATTGGGTGGTATTTGAGGTTTTAGTCCAATTTCGCCATAAGCAAATCTAGGACTAACCTCAATATCAGCAATTTCGCCTACATCCATCAAAGCAATTGCTAAATCCAATCCCTGCAATTCCAAGTATAGAATTACAAAGTAGTAAGACGTACATTGTAGAAATAATAAATGATTTGGTTTCATACCTGCACAACATCCAAGTCTCCTAACTGTATAACAAAATTGTCAAGATTTTCTACTACTCTAAAAGTATCGATCCTGCCAAGAATTCTTAAGATACATGTATCACCTCTATTTGGTCGTGTTCCTTCTTCACCCGTAACCAAGACTTTCTTTTTCAGTTGGCCATTACCAAGTATATCCATCCACTCACCTAACTGATTATTCAGAAATTCTTTTCTTATAAGATTTTTGAGATCTTTCCCTCTCTCAGTGTTAGATTCGATGTTAGATTCAGAGTTAGTTTCAATGTTAGACTCGGTGTTAGAATCTTCTGATTCTTTCTCAATGAAATTTGCTTGCGTTTTACGACTCTCTACAAAGTCTTTACCCATCTTGAACAAATTTATTTAGATTTTTCAATAATGTACTATTTCATACTGCAAGGTTTTTTTGAATCTTTTTCTAACAGATATATTACTTGAACAAAGAAACTTTAATGTCTTACTTTTCTACCTAAATGAATTTATTATAACTGATCAAATTATCGTGTATAATAAGCCAAATGTTTGATGTGCTTTCTACGTGGATAATTTCTACCAGATACTTCACGAAAAATTTGTGACGTCAAATATTTCGAGATGAATTATCAGTGTAAATATTTTGTCCGTTTAACCATTGAGTGCAATGACATATATCATCACACTGTGCTTATGGTGATAACAAATGACTGTAGTATAATAACGGAAAAATATATATTCACTCGATATGACAAAAACGACGACATGACTGGCTTAATTAGAACGTATTTATCAGATTTTCACACTAACGTGATTAGCAGTGAAATCGTGAACATATTTTTTCTATACGTACCTCGGCGCTTTCAAGAGTACCGACAGTCATCGTAAATATTGGAGAGATCGTTCAATTTTTTTTTATTACGTTTATTAATCAACCACTTCACACACCGGGATGTTTTACACGCAAATAGTTGCTTGAAAATGGAACGATTCGCCGGGTCGATAATCGAACTGTCTCGAGTTGTTTCCCGAAGTTTCTCGTTATATAAAGCCCATTCTACAATTGCGTAAGTGTAGTCGTGAACATAAGAGTCAACCAATCCGAATGTTTTATTCACTGATTGCTTTACTCTGATTGGTTGTCGTAATCACTTACAACCACTTACATTCACGTTCACGCAATTGTAGATGGGCTTAATGGGCGCATTCAGCAAAAAAAGCGCTCAGTGAGCAATCAGCGATTATTGGTTCTTACTGTTAGATCCCTAAATCTAAATCAATCACGTTGACGAATAGCTCAACTGTTGTATTAAGGGACGTCTACATTGGAAGTAAGCAGTAAGAAGTAGGAAGTAAGAATAAAAAATTGACCAATCATAGTTGATTATTCTTCTCACATTCGACTGTGGTTGGTCAATTTCTTACTCTTACTTCCTACTTCTTGCTATTTACTTCCAATGTAGATGTCCCTTTACTCTTGCTTTCTACTTCTTGCTATTTACTTCCAATGTAGACATCCCTTAACTGTTGAGTTCGCTGAACGTACCCACTGGCTCCTACCTTAGAGCATATATACATGGAGGGAGAATACTGGCACGAAAATGTGTCCAAGATGTGTACGAGAGAGAAAGCTATACGTTCCTATTCGTCCTCTGTGCGCATGCGTGAAGTTGACAAGTTAGGTTAGGTTATAGAGTTGACAGGAAATAAAAGTTATGTATTTTCTTCTCATAGAGCTCTGAGAATTTTTTCAGAAATTTGTATTAACTTTCTAGTACTTCAAGGAAATGCAAGAAAATGCAGTACTAAAAAATTAATTTTGAAAAAATTCTCCGAGCTCTATAAGAAGAAAATAAACAATTTTTATCTCTTACTATTTTTCGGTAAAGTTGATAGAATTCAAGTAAAAAAATATTGAAACCAATAATTTTGTAGTCCAGCAACAATTGACGCATGTGGCGCATGCGCACAGAGGAGGAATGGAATGTATACCTTTCTCTCTCGCACATATCTTATAGCATGTTCGATTGGCTCTGGGTTAACCCACTCTGGGTTATTCAGCCTACGTTTATTAGTCGAACAAGTATTTATAAGCTTTATGATTGGCTAGTAGAGACTTATGACGTTATTAATCGCTCTCGGAGCGATTAACTCTGGGCCAATCGAACACGCTAATAGACACACTTTTGGTCTACAGAAGGCATACGCAATTCCCCCTCCATATATGTGCTCTAAAGCCAGAATCACTCTAGCGATTAGCGATTGATGATTGAAGATTGGAATTTAACTAATTGGAACAAAGCAAGCCAAGGTTGAAACTCGTTGATTCGTCAAAATCTAATCTTCAATCGTCAATCATCAGTCGCCAATCGCTAGTGTGATACGGGCTTAAAGGCCAAATCACACTACCCATATAGCACAAATCTTGCAGCAATGTTAAAAGTTGCAGAAGTGTTGCCGCAATGTTGCTGCAAGATCTGTGCTGTATGGGTAGCGATTGATGATTGACGATTGACAATTAAAGATTAGATTTTAACGAATCAACAAACTTCAGCCTTGGCTTGCTTTGTTCCAATTGATCAAGTTCTATCGCCAATCGCTAGTGTGATTTGGCCTGTAGGCTCCTACACATAGGACATGGAAATGTTTTTCATGCGGCAAAAAACGACGCGGTAACCAATAAACTTCAAACTTTTATGGAAAAACGGCACGTTAATCGCGTCGCTTCTTGCCTGGCGGCAAGCGTTTCTGCGTGCTGTGTGCAGGAGATATAATGACCGTATTTATAGTCAGATTTATAGCCATCTTATTTTTGGTCTGTTCTTTTTAGCTGCACTACTAGTGTAATAAAGTTAAGCCAGCGGCACACGGTGTTTAACTTTTTATGCTGGATTGCTATATGGAAATACTCCATTCTGATTGGTGCATTTCTGAAGATGGATAGTAATGCATCAATCAAAACAGAGTATTTCCATCCAGAAAGCAGTCCAGCACGACACAAACCGTGTGCCGCTGGCTTTAGAATGAAACTACTATGGGTGTTTATGATAATTTGAGTTTGACTAACGTAACATGTTAAGCCAGCGACACACGGTTTTTGTTTTCATGCTGGATTACTTGCTGGATGGAAATACTCTGATTGGTGTATTTCCATCCATCTTCAGAAATGCACCAATCAAAATAGAGTATTTCCATCCAGCACGAAAACAACCATCGTGTGCCGTTGGTTTTAGTCCCGATCTACAATAGGTATAGTAAGCTTCAAGCCTTAAGAAATTGACCAATCACAGTGGAATTATAGAGGAATAATCAATTGTGATTGGTTAATTTCTTACGGCTTAAAGCTTACTACACCTATTGTAGATCGGGACTAAGGCCAAGTTCCACAACATCCGTTTAATTTTAACCCGTTAAGTCCCAATAGTGATTAGTTAATTCTGATTAACTCTTTTTAATATCAAATGCGATTGGTCAAGGCCAATGGAATAACCAGCCAGTTAACTGGAGGTTGTGGAATTGGGCCTAATATTCAATTTCTTCACCTCCGGTTAACTTTAGGCCTATTCTTTGTAGCTACACTGCTGAACTTGTGCAATAAATTAGTGTGAGAAAACGTATATTTGTCTCACTTTAATATATTGCACCAGTTCAGCAGTGCAGCTACAAAGAAGACTTTTTACCTACTAGTTATTCTATTGGAATTGACCAATCATATTTATAGTTGACAAGTATATTTATAGTTGGCAAGAATTAACTAATCACGGTTGATATTTAACAAATAGATAAAGAGTGCTTTCCGGCTGTTATACTGTATTACACAAAACCAGTCAATTGGTCACTTATTAATGGCTATAAATCTAAAATATCTAATCATTTATTATCTAAAATATCTAATCACTTATTATCTAAAATATCTTATAAGATAATATGCATCCAATAAACTCGTTTTGTGTAACACAGTGTATGTAGCTGAAAAACACCCAAAGTTAACCGGAGGTGAAGAAATTGGGCATTAGTCAAACTCGAATTATAAACACCCATTATTAGCATTTAATAACTGTATAACCAGTTACAGAATCCTGGCACTTTTCTACGATATATAAAAGTTGTGCAACGATAACGAAACTGTCGTTAACTCTAATAACGAGTTACAGAATCCCAGCACTGGACTGATGAAGCAATTGAGACACTTTTGCATATTAATGTTCCATTCATGTTCGAATTAAAATGTAACGAGCTGCCACAACTGACGCTTGATCTCAATGGACGCGTTCAGCGAAGAAAGTGCTTGGTGAGCAATTAGTGATTATTGGTTCTTATTGTTAGATTCCTAAATCTAGATCAATTACATTGACGAATTGCTCGATTGTAGTGCAACTGTTGAGCCTACTAAATGCAGTCAATTAATAAAATAAGCTTTTCGGAGAGACGTTTGAAAGATAAGCGACGAATTGTAATTGGATCTGTAACATCGATTATCTCTCAAGGAATACTATGATAAAAAGAGAATATCTTCCTTCGACGAGATAGCATTTAAATGTACCATACGTAACCTATTTGCGGATATAAACTACCAGCTTGTGACACCTGTGAACTTTTGCACAAGCTGAGAGTTTCGCAATACTTCACGTTGCTTCGTACTTACCAGTGACGTAGCATGGACTGTCGATTGTCGCCACGATGTATCTAATTGTTAAGACTGTTAAAAAAACAATTTCTTCCCAATAATTATCTACCGTGTACATATATCGCGTAAACAAGGTTGAACACGAATTTGATAACAGCCAACTCTTACAATCGCTTATATTAACACTTTATGAAATTCCAATGTTAGACTGTAAAATCTAACTCGAATACTGTGAGTTCGCATATTGAAATTTTGAACGTTGAACAACTGCTCGGCGTAGAAATCATGATATTCATTTAAAGCAAGTCTCGTTTGATCGGAACGCATGGAAGTACTACGATACTTTCTAAAAAAACGAAGAGTTTAAAGTAAGCAAAGAATACTTGACATTTTACAACTCGCCTAGATGACATGTCTTATACCCCCTTTGATTACACCATCGTTAGAGAACAGAGGCCAATCAGGCGCTCCCACATTTCTAAGCGCACGCATGCGCTCTCTGCTTGCATCCGGTAGCGGTCTACTGTGACAGACTGCGGCGGGACCAGCAGTTGCGAAGTCTTTGTTTGCATGGTTCGAATCGCATTTAGCACGATGAAACTGCTGCTGTTTCTGGGTCTGGTGACCGCGGCCTCTTGCTCGGGCAATTCCGCAAACGGACCGAAAGTTACGGACAAGGTACAAACGCCTAGTCTCCGACATCAGCGGAGTGCGGTTTTCGAAACAAGAGTGTCTGCGTGAACGCATGATAAACCGAGAGGGATGTTGCTCTGTGAATACGTGGCACGTCTTCACTATCTTCACCATCGCTCTACCGTCTGCGATCGCCGCGAGATATTTCTGTCTGTCGCGCAGATGGAAAAATTCCATGCGTCTACCTGGATACGGAATTAAACGGCTTTATCCCCGAATCACGCGGATGATATCGGCGAATGCTCTGAGATTGTTCTCAGTTTAATTAAATTTTGTAGGTATGGTTTGACATCAAAATCGGTGATGCCGACATCGGCCGGATTGAGATCGGCCTTTTTGGCAAAACTGTTCCGAAGACGGTGAAAAACTTCGTGGAGCTTGCCAAGAAGCCCGAGGGTGAAGGATACAAAGGCAGCATGTTCCACAGGGTGATCAAGGACTTTATGATTCAAGGAGGAGATTTCACCAAGGGAGATGGGACTGGAGGTTCTATACGCACAAATTTTTGTTTTATTTACACATTGTTACACTTACAATATTTATATATATTTATATTTCCAATTGTATTGTTATATTTGTATTATATTTTAATATTTTGTTATTTATATATTACTTCTTATTGAATGTGTCTTAAATGCTACTGGTTGACTTACTATGTTTATTAGTCTATTTATTTTTCAGGTCGTAGCATCTATGGACCCCGCTTTGCAGATGAGAACTTCAAATTGAAGCACTATGGTGCTGGCTGGTTGTCAATGGCCAATGCTGGCAAGGATACCAATGGATCTCAGTTCTTCATTACAGTTAAGCAGACTCCATGGTTGGATGGTAGACATGTTGTTTTCGGCAAAGTTATTAAAGGAATGGTATGTAAAGACATATTAATACATTTGCTTGAATTAAATATTTACATATAACAACATTATATGAGACAAATTATGGCTGTTTAAAAATTAATTTAGAAAAAGTCTATATTTTTATTTGGTCTTTAGAATCTTGATGCAAATTTATGAACAGTTTCCTAAACAACTTAGAGTCCACAAAATTCTCTGGTTGCATTCTTATCTACAGAGAGTTAATCTGTTGTATAATAAAATGCAAATTTTATACAATTTATTTTCTTTTTTAAACACTATATTTATAATTAATGTCCAAAACAGGTATAGTAACTATCTCATCATTTAATTGTTTTTTTTTTGTATATTTTAATATAATTTGTAATATATTTTACATAATTTGCATTGCCTATATGGAAAACTATCATATATACATACAAAAAATACATAATCCTCATAGATGTGATCTTGAAATGTATGGCACAACTGAACATTTGTATCTTGACATTTGTACTGTGACAGTGCAGGTATATAACTCTCCATTTATTTGTATAATTATCTGTTGCAGGATATAATTCGCCAAATTGAGCAGACAGGCACAGACTCGCGAGACAAACCACAGAAGAATGTTGTCATCGCTGATAGCGGTGCAGAGACTATAGCAGAACCTTTCAGTGTATCTAAAGATGACGCTACCGAGTGAATGCAACGATTTATTGGCAATCTCGCTATTCCGTACGATCCGTTTGTCTCATGCGAACGATCCTTTTGAGTTGTACATTTCCGACATCATTATGTAGTTTCTCTAAAAAATGAAACAACAATTGTGTATTTCAATACAGCAATGATGTAATAACTGTCGATAGAAAATTGTAAAATGTCAGTGAGTCAAATAATTTGGCCATAAAGCTTTTACATTGCCGTCACTACAATACTATGAAACGAAGGTGTTTCACAGGGTCATAAAGCAATTATAGCGCGGCAATTGTAGAAACGATTGTTTCTATTCCGGTTACAACCTCGTATACTTATATTGCACAAAAGAATTTTGTATGTAAGCGAATTTTTTACATTCACAAAGATAAGTTGTTTAAAAAATATTGTGTTATATTATTCACAACCTCCCTCAACATCCTTACAGCTTTTGTTGGCCAAGAAATTATTTCTTAATTTGAATATCCAAAAATCTTGATATTATTCTGTGTTTAGTGCGATGTTTTGATTTAGATCCTTTCTTTTTTCAATGGTTTTAGAGATATTCAAATGACATTCTCTGTTCTTTATCCAGTCAAGACATTTAATAAGTTTTTAAACTAAATCTGCATTAATGAAAAGAAGATTAAAATAAATCTTAATAAAAATAACATCATGAAAAAAGAACTATAAGGCTACGCACACATATTAAAATTAGAGAATTAATTTTTCGATCACGGAAAATAGAAGAAATTCAACGGGTTGTAATATTGATGAAAATGATGATATTGAGATTGTAAAAAAAACATTTTATAGCTTGAAATCTGCAATTTTCAAATACAAAAAACACGCATATATAGTTCATTATGAAGATTTTATTTATTTTTTACAGTGTTATGCTAATATAAATCGAGATTTATCACTTGTTAAAATTTTTGCACCGCCTCTGTGCAATTCACATTTCAATTGGCGCGCATCCCCACTCCGCAGACGTCACCCGTTTAGTTCAGCCACATTCGGAGACTATTACAGAGGGCGCGACTATAAACGGGTTCCAATTTTTACAAAAGGGGGTTTGTACCTCCTAGCTATTATGGCTTTTGTACACAGAACACGAAAACGTTTGTTGTGCGGCAAAAATTGGTTTATTATTAAATCATCTGATTGTCATTATTTTTGTCGCAGCTCTGCAACCCGTTGAATTTTGTCTACACTGAAATCTAATGACATCACTTCTCACCGACAAGCACGATCAGCTGTAAATTGCATGTCCTCTGTTAAATTTCTTTTCAAAGGGAAGAATTAAAAATGTTATCAAAGAAACATATATTTTATAAACAAAAACATTTGATTTTTGTGCATGAATGGATTAAAAAACAAAGTGGCTGTCTTTCGCAGCGATTCCTCTCATCTAAAGCTGAAAAAAATGCAGTGCGGTGAGCCAATGAGGTTATGTTAAATATTTATGTATTCGTAAATATAAACAAATATATCAATTTTACTAAAATCTATTCGCATTGGCTTATTGATTACTTGTGATGTGTTAATACCAAGCTGTTTTAATCAAATTAGTTTTCTTTTCGATAATTAGAGAGCAATGGAAACCTACCGTGGGCTTGGAGATTCACGCTCAGATTGCAACCAAGTCGAAATTATTTTCCAACGCATCCACTGACTTTCTCAGTCCCCTTAACTCCAATGTTTCATTTTTCGACTGTGCTACACCAGGAACTTTACCTGTAAGCTATTGATAAAGAATTAATCTGTTAAATTATTATAACAAATATCTTTGTAAAGATATATTTTTGTCATAGGTACTGAACAGAAAATGCGTGGAATCAGCAGTGCTGACAGCTTTAGCATTGTCTTGTCAGCTGAACGAGATATCCTTGTTTGAGAGAAAACATTACTTTTACGCAGATTTGCCTGTAAATAAGAAAATAGGATAAAATTCTCAATCATTAATCTTCTTTAGTCATTGATATTCTAGAAAAATTTGGTTTTCCTTGCAATTAGTAGTAGTTCAGTTTTACTTGTGAAGTTCATTCTTAAGATCATTGAACAGAAAATTTAACTGCAATCAATGCTAATCAATAGCATTGTAGTTAAACTTTTGTTTGATTGTGTGAAAAAATCAGGTTTGTTTTCTTAGAATGTCAATGACTAAGAGAATGTTAATAATTGGGTGTTTTATCCTAATAGTCTCTGTATTATTTTACACTTTATCTTCATTTAGTTATAAAAAAACTGTTCAGGCAGGATTCCAAATTACTCAACAAAGACGACCAATAGCTATCGATGGTAAGATTAAGTTCCACGTATTTGGTCCAGAAGTACCTTGTCCGTACTTCAAATCTTCTAAGATTAAGCAGATTCAATTGGAGCAAGACAGCGGAAAAAGTTTGCATCATGAAAATATGGAGAAGTACTTTTGATTCATTATATTATTAAAGTTTGAGTGACACACACAGAACTGACAGAACTCATTATTTTAACTGATTATTTGATCTAATATTTCTGTAGGAGCTTAATCGATTTAAATCGCGCTGGAGTACCTTTGATGGAGTTCGTGTTTGAGCCAGACTTGTCCAACGGCGAAGAAGCAGCCGCGCTCGTGAAGGAACTTGATTTAACTCTGCAGTTGCTGGGTGTCTGTAGCGGCAAGATGGAAGGTTATTTGGGAAAGAAGATTATCTTCAATTATCACTTGCCTTTCTCGCCAAGCCGTAGTCTATAATTCTTATGTTGCAGAAGGAGCATTTCGCGTCGACGCGAATGTCTCTGTAAGCGATCGAGATGGAGAGTTGGGCGTTCGCACGGAAATAAAGAATATCGGCAGCGTACGTGCCGTAGCCGCGGCTGTGACATACGAAATAAATAGGCACATATCTATTCTCGAAGCCGGCGGTGAGATATTTAATGAGACGTGCGCGTGGGATGCTATTAAGAAGAAAACCATTCCAATGCGCGAAAAGGAAGAAAAAGAAGTAACAAACTATCTCGATTCGATGTAATTTTTTATTCTTTTATCGTTGATTCTTGAGTCACGAGTGAATTCACTTTGCAGGATTACCGATTTATGCCTGAAACGAACTTGCCGCCTTTACGAATTCATGTCAGAGAAGATCTGCCGAATAGAGACAATCTAGTCGACGCTGTATTATTAAGACGACAGTTACCTGAATTGCCGAAACAAATACGTCAGCGATTAAAGGACGTACTTAAGATATCGCCTGCTCTAATTATAGCTCTAATGGTAAAACTAAATACTAAATGAATGGATACAAAAAAGAACGGCGATATTTTTAATATTTTATATTATTTTAGAGCAACTTGGAGTTATTGCAATTATTTCATAGAATTATAGAAGAAAATGAGAAGCGCGAACCGCAACTAGTTGCCAATTTCCTCGTTAATTATTTATTGACCTTTATTTATAAGCATAAGTTGACGATTGAATCTTGGTAAGGCTCTTCTTGTTAAACGAAATAGCATCTTTCGATTATGAAATTTTACTTATCAGACGAATTTTTAGTACACCACACAGCGAGTTTATTGGCGAAGTGATTGACTTATTACAAGATAAGTTAATTAATTTACTAATAGCAACGAAAATATTAAAAGAATTAATAAGTGGACCAAAGAAACTTCCGAAAGAGGTAAAGTTTTCAATTTCTTTATTTTAAAAATGTACACAGTGTTTAACTCTGGTTTTAATTATATTTAATTTTGATTATTCTTTTTTTATTGTATGTTTAGATCGTTCAAGAAAACAATTGGTTCTTAATATCGGATACGAAACTATTGGAGCAGATGTGTTTGGAAGTTGTTGAAAGAAATCCAAAAATTGTAAAGGTGTATAAAAAAGGTAAGACAAAGGTTGCTAAAGCGCTAATAGGAGAAATAGCGAGAAATACGAGGCAATGTGCAGATATGGCTGCCGTTGCCCAAATTATAGAGAGATTGTTGACCTCGAATTAAAAGTACGAAATTAGTTTTATAATCAAAGACACTTGTAAATAATAGTATTTCTTAATAAACGTAACATTCGTACGTGTAAGAGTAATTTTATTAATTACTTACCTTATATGTTAAATATATCAATCAATCGCGCACGTATTCTTATTGTAAGCACAGATATTAAAAAAACAGTATAATACACTTATATACCATTGTAATTATCACATCTATATAAGTATATAGGAGTTTCATCTCGTGAACGCGACTTACACTAAGACAGATCGATAAAGCTCAGGTCCGTGTGATTTTGTATATTAAATATTTACACAAGAGCATTATTTTCTAATAAACTTCATTACGAAATAACTACATTGAGTCATCCTTTTTTTACAATTGTGTTTACAATAATATCATTAAAAAACATGCCAACTGTTAATTACACATTCCATTATTCAGTATTTATAAATCCGTCTTTGTATCCAGAGCATATTGGACAATCATTATCGGCATTGCTATATAAGAAAATAATGGGTGACAGCATTTTCATACAATGGACAGAGATAGTTAAAAGTAATAACACAGATTCTACCGTCGACAGTGTTTGAACTGAAGTTACAGCCGCAGTTCTAAACGTTACACAAGAACAATTTTTTTAGCACTTTCAGGGAGATTAAAAAATCCTGGTGTCTACAAAGTATATTTGACATGTCATCCGTGATATTATCATATAAGAAAGTGTATCGTTACAGAATAATTAAAAACATTTAAATCCCGTACGCGTCAGATTACCGCTTATACTGCAAAAAATGGCAATGATGGAAGGATTATAAATTGCAGTCTTCAGAGAAAGGCCACTTGAGTAGCAATCGAGGGTCATGTTCTTTGACTCATCCTCCTTTTACCATCTGCATAATTTAGTCAAAGCGTAACAGATATATCTATATATATATATTGCTCATTGCTTCGGTAATGCAAACGGACTCGTTTTACGATTCCATGTACTCCGGATATTCCTTTTCTTTCCACGTACGCACTCAGTGCTCTTTAGAGGATCGCTCTCGTGGATAAAAATTCTCTCTTTCAATTACTAAAATGCTACATCACCGTTGTCTATCATTACGTATTTACAAAATGTCCTTATAAAGAATCAACATCGATAACGTGATTTGATAAAAAAGAAAATTGTCCTTAGAGATTAACAGTTTTGTTTCGCGTCGCTTCCTAATTGTCGAATAAAGTAAACCTGAATTCTCTTTCCTTCATCTTTTCTTTCTTTTTTAACTATATAAAGAGCATTGGTTTATGGTTTCACAGTGAATTATAAAATTCATCATCTCTCTAAGACATTAAAAATTAATTCCACAAAGTAAAATTTCTAAGTCTTTTATGATCAAGTATTCACAGTCTAGGAATAGGAGTAACGTCTCTTTTCTCGCCTTTGGCACAGCCATGCGATAATTGATTTTACCGTCGGAAAAACAATAAGTTAAATTACTAGCACGAGGATAAATTCATCGATAGCATGAATGCGCGTATTCGTGAGAACACTAGCAATAATTGTTGATGCTGTTGACAGGTAAAGCAATTCATTCGACACAGTTGATGATACAACTTAAGATTTTGCAGCGGCGTGCAGTTGAGACTACAAACAGATTTATTTGGACAATTTGCTGATTACTCTGATCAAGGCACCGTTTTCGTCTTTTAGCCTCTGATTTTCGCATTTTAGTTGCTCCATCACCTAGAAAAAAAAGACGTTTCGCTAATTCTCGTGCGCTAATGCGGGGGAATGTAAAAATATACAGAGGAGTACAAAGAAATAATGCCGTTATAGACGGAGTGATGTATCAGTGCTCACAAAGTAACGGGAAAAAAATGTAAAGAACGGAAAAGAGGCACTCTCACAGGTATTACTGCAACCAAAAGACTCGTTAAAGAAAAAAGTATACGGGTACTGTATATGCTAGCGCAAATTAACGGATGTATACTCGAGTATCATGAAAGAACCGAGAGAGAAAGAGAGAGAGAGCGACAGAAAGAGGTATGATTATATGTATGAACAGCAAGAAGCGTATATATCATCTATTGACGACGGTTTTTTTGTCACGTTACACGTAATGTACCAGACGAAAATCACAAACTTTATTTTTCTTTCGAGTATCATCGTATTCTGTACACAAGTATCCTTCGTATGTGTAATAGCAATCGTTCACTAATCTAATCGATGCCGAGCACTAGTCTGAGTAAGTATCACGAGTGAATTATTTATAGACGATCGTAGTGATCCGAGACTATAGAACTTAGGGGTAGTGAAACTTGTCTCTCACATACACACACACACAGATATCTTACAATAGAGTTTGCACGTGTTTGGAAGACGATTCATCCTTTATACGAAATCTAAGCGAAGCTCCATCAGCGCGCGATTGATCATCATGAGATTCGACAGCTTGGAAGTTGTAGTGATAGTCTTAATTAACGTAACAATCGAGTCGCGAATTAATCATGAAAATCGAAAGAGAAACGTCTTCATTACTGTCGCCTATCGTTTCACGTGCATCTCGTGGATAGAAGGGTAGCAATGTTCTCTGAAGCAATGTTTACCAGTTGGAACTAACATCGTGTAAACCGTTCGCCTCGTTCTTTTCTCGCGTTGAGCACTTTCAGAACGCTACAAAATAATATCGTTGATTATGAAAGCTCTCTAGTGCGTATCACATGAAAATAGTGTGATGAATATGCAGTAATTATTATTATTATTATTATTATTATTATTATACATAGAAGTTAAGACGGGGGGAGATATTAATGTGTCAACCTCACGAATTGGCCATCTCGTAAAGGTAGATCTATGAGTCAATAAGTAAGAGGTGCAGTGAAAATGCAACAGTTTCAACATTTAACATGCTTTCTGAGAAAGAAAGATATATATATATATATATATATATATATATATATATATATATATATATATATATAAATAGAAGAGAGGTGAAGATCTAAGTTAATACAGTGTGGTAGGTGTTGATTTTTAACGATCTAAAGTGTGTCTCGAAGGAGAAAGGATTGAGTATTTTCACACACAATTACAGTCGAGATGAATAAACGAAAAGAAATAATCAGCTGCAAAGTCGTGGCATTGATTCGCTCGTGTGCCGAACACGTGCCATAGCATAGGTGATTAATCGTCGGAGATGTTGCCATGATCGAGCGGTTTGGTGTTTAAACGCGAAGGAATGCTCTCCTGGAGTTACGAAGTTGTGGAATCTACTCGTTCCTTCGTGCATCGCACGAATGACAGACTACGTTCCTGCGTCTCTCACTGTTTTAAAGATCACGCGGTGCTCCTTAATGAAGATGTATTGTTTAGCGAACTTGTTCTCGCAGCATGCATCACACCAATCACAGCCGCGATGATAATGACACGGTCAAATTTTCCTTCAATGGCGATCTCTCAAGGAATCGTGTACGTGTATAAACATTATACAGGATGCCCGACGATGACATAAAACTCTTGTGTACGCGTAGGTGAGGTGAAGCTAAGCAAAAAATTGATCCACATTATTTTGTAAACAACCATGTAAAATTTTGTTATTAATTAAAGAAGACTGATGAATGATCACGCGCAATACAGCAGATGAACTGATGAACTTAACAAAATAGTCCTCTATTGTTTCGTAAATAATTACGTAGATTTTCTTATCAGTTCAAGAAAATTGGCAAACGATCACGTGCAATCATTCACCAATCTTCTTTAATTGATAACTAACAATCTACGTGATTGTTTACAACCATGGTACGGGACTTTTTGTCCAGTTTTTAACCTAACCACATAAACATTTATTAATCTCCTTTAATTAACAACTCAAAATTTTACGTGGTTGTTTGCAAAGTGGTGGAAGATTCTTTTTGTTTATTTTGACCTAATTTACACGAGAGTTTTACACGAGAGTTTTATCGTTAGACAGTTTGTATACGTAAACATGTGAACAAAGGCATAGAAAGAGAATCGTGTGGATGTATAGAATCGCGCAGATATAGAGATGCTATTAGTAGTGTCACACATATAAGATGATGTACACGATTGTATACAGTGAGATGCTTAAAGAGTATTCAGGAGGAGACAGACGAGCATGTTTGATGCGTGTGTTTGTTTGTTTGTGTACATATATATGTGTATATATATATATGTATGTGTGTATATATGTATGTATTATAGCAGGCCTGAGATCTCTCTTTTATATGAAAGTACAAGCTGGTACGGTTGTTTGATTAAAGATTGATTAACGATCGCGCGTTACGCATTCTCGATACGTACTTTGCAAAGCTGAGTTTTGTACGATAAGTAAGAGATGAGCGGTAATTCGTTTCAGTTTTTTTAATATTGGCGATCAGAACACAAAGTTGTAATCATATCAGTCGATTAATCAATCGATTAATTAATTAATGCCGTACGTGAGATACGATGTCTATCGTTATGACGCAGATGCTGTCATTGTGTCCTTTACCTATTTAGTATTGGTGAGTTTGGATACGACGCGGGTAAGTGCCCGATTTTCGGCTTTCAATCTCTCATTTTCAGCTTTGAGCTTTTGCAATTGCTGTAAACAGTTAAACAATTAGCCCAAAACCCGCCGCTGTTCCCGCCAGTCCCAAAATAGCCAAAAGCACATAATCAATTCGCGTCTATCATCGTTTCTAACGAGTAAACATCCCGCGTGCGAGTCCCCGTTATAAATTATATTGGGAATTCCTCGAACAAAAACAGAAAAAAGAAAGCGAAACTCAAGGGAAAAATGTAAGAAGGGCTGACAAAAGTCGTCGCCGTCCTTTTGCGCGTGTCAAAAATCAAGTACAAATCACAAAAAGAGAATAAGGGAAGAGAAATAAAAGCTCCATCGAAACCAAAAAAGAAGAACAGCAGGTAAGAAAAAAGCAAAATATAGATGCGCTGAAGTCCTCGGGTCTTTGTATGAAAAAAAAACAAAAGTTAAGAAAAATCATCTCTCGACACGTTGCTCTTCCCTTGCCGCTATCAGTCACAAGCAGCAACGTAACAAAAAAAAAGAGAGGAAGAGAGATGACAGTAATACTAAACTAAAAAATTTAAAATTGTGAATACAGACAGGCAAATAGATAAATATACTTGTATATATATATATGTATATTCGTACATATAAAATCACAGACATAATCGTGTCCACAGTCTTCTCGTTATTTTAGAATCGACGCACGAAAGCGTTCGTTTCGTTTTGCTTTCACATAGATGACAATCGTTCGTCACACATTGTAGTAGAAGAAGAGACATACGAGATCTGGGCTTACCTTCAGCTCTTCTTCCATTTCAGAAAGTTTCCTCTCCATGGCTCGCCTCTCCCTCTTTTCCGCCTCCGAGAGAATTACTTTGTTTTGGTTGGTCTGCGCTTTCTCCAGCAAACTTCTGACCTCCTTTAACTGCTCATCGGAGCGCTTCAGTTTGTCTTTTAACCTCTCGTTCTCCACCTGAGATTCCTCGTATAATTTTTTATAGTCTAACTCGCCGTTTTCAGAACTACTGGACTTTATTCTGATCGGCGCCGACGACGCCTCTGACGATATCGAAGATATCGAGCCCAATCGGTTTGATCTGCTAGAACGATCATTCCCGCTCTGAAACAGATAACGAAATAAACATCATTAGTTTCTGTCACATACATGCTTGTCGATTTTTTAAAAGAGAATTCTACATATGCCCTGTAATACCTAGACATTACAGAATATAACGATTAATTAAGGACATTCCCGTAGGAGTAACGCTTTACGGAAAAAACAGTATGGTTGGCCCACACATAAATCTGGTTATACCGGATTCAATAGTAAAATATGGAACTAATTATGCGAACTAATATCGCTACAATCACAAAGCAATTGCTGCACCGAGAAAAATATTTGAAAATTTCTTTGTGGGATATAAAGTTCATTTTTTTGCGAAATGAAATTTATATTCCACAAAGAAATTTTCAAGTACTTCTTTCTTCGTGTGAATTATTGATGCTACAGCAGTGATGATATCCGGTTGTTTCAGAATATATCCATGGTAAAAATCACCCCAACCGATTTATGGTTGCCGCAATCAGATTATGCGCAACTACATTGATGAGTAACTGAATCAACTGTACACATTACCATCATACAAAGATAACTAGGATGATGCAGCCATGCTGCTCACAACAAAATATCTCTGATTATACGTGCATCATATTTTTTTTCCGTATTCAATACTTTACAATCGGTTTAGCTTAGAAACGGTGCACGTTAATCGAGAAATGCAATCGCTTACGGCGTATCCCTCGGAGCTAGTTAAACTTTGGAGGCTGGAACTCTTCGATGAGATACTGAGACTCGGTTTGATCTTCGGCCTGCTGAAACTCTCAGTCTTTTGCAAGTGCGGGCGCGTTTTCGCGCTCAAGTTCAAGTAGTTAAAACTTGGAGACGAACTCGTCAGATTCAAGGCATTGACACCTGTGTGAGAGGAGGGCAGAGTAACACCACCGTATCCGGTGGTCGTGCCACCATACGTCGTGTAGAGATTCGGGTAACTCGGACTCGTGACAACGTTCGTGGACTTCGTGTACGGACTCTTGCGATAGAAATCGCTACTCTTCGAGCTCTTCGAGCTCAGAATACCGGACGAGCCAGAGGAGTACAGATTCGGGCTTTTCACGCCTAATAAGCTCGCGTAATTGTTCTGGTTGAGCCCGAGCAGTCCGTTGATCCGTGACCTGTTTCCAAAAATTGATTGCCCATTTGTTGATGCCTGAGCTCTCAGACCCGCAGCTGTTGTTGGCTTAGCCTGCGCTCCTTTTCTGTACGAAGACATGGTTTACGTCACGTGCGAAGCTATTACGGATCCACCAACGGCATCGGCAACTTCCTTGCGAGGCTCTTCACTGAGAGAATATCTGTTTACAAAGTCCCTCGATCGGCACAGTCCACAAGATCGTGAGAACGCTGTTGATCTTCGGTACAAGAGAGGCGCGCATATCCAGCGTCGCGGGCCGCGAATGATAGACTGACGGAGACCAGGCAGTAGAAGCCAAGACACCAGGCAGTTTGCTGCTTCAAAGCATTACTACTATGCGCTATTTTTGGCATGCATGCAGAGACTCACACAAGTATCAAGGTTGTATGTCCCGGAGAATATGAGTGCAACTTGTACTGTGGTTTTAATATTTCCCTTAACACATACATGCGAGATAGCTTATGAATATTTAAATATAGATCAGTAGTTAATTAGCAAACACGATATCGTTATTTTTACTCTCTCACACAGAGTTCGATTCGAGATACACGCGACTCTGTGCGCATGTGTGTGAATATAAGTTTCATAATATATTAGGTAATACCTTCCCAGAGGAAGAGAGCGGGACGAGATTTATATAGACGAGCGTTAACGACCTGTGTATCTCGATATATAAAAGATCAAAGTGCCTTAGCGGCGTGCACAAGAGCAACAAGTGAACGGTACGCGTGCAATTCTAAATGTCAAAGCGTCGCATTGTATTCCGGACGTTGACGGAATACTTTTGGACGCGGCCGGGCCATGTTCACGATCATTTAATGATCCGGTTACAGCAACCGAGCGGTAAGCTAAGTAACAGTTAAATTATATCTTTGTCTTTGTTTTGTCTTCAAAACAAACAAAGACGGCTACATGTTGGTGCGCATGTATAATCTCTCGAAAAAACAAGTACCGAAATTCTAAAAGTGGAACAACGTCCCGAAAACTCACAATTCCGAATACCGCGGGACAATGTCCCGAAATATAATTTTCCTGAAATATTGAAAGCACGAGTTATCAATAACTTGTCATATAACTTTGTGAGACAATTTCATGCTTTTAGTATTTTGGGAGATTGTCCTTGTATTACTTTTCGGGGATTACGACTTTTCGGGACGTTGTCCCACTTTTCGAGTTTCTGGATTATGCATGTTCACCCATATGTTTTAACTGTTAATTAGTTTACCACTCAGTTGATGCAATTGGATTTTAATATTTTTTTTCTTTTTGGTCGAATTAACGACTGTAACCTCCCCGAGTATAATTTAAGCTTTGCCGTTTCTCTCGAAGTCGAGTCAGAGTTCCGACGCGAAAAAGTGCGAATGTTTATTTGGGAATTAAGTAAAATCGTGCGCTGACGTCAGTCTTGCACCATCTTTTTTTTTTTAAGTTCTCTCATACATTGAACGTATCCCGCGCGAAATGTAGGTGACAGAATAACGAATGCTAAACTATTTTTATCGAAGAATGCACGGAATAGAGGTTATTCTTCCACGAAGCTAAAAATAAGCAGCAAGCTGCCGCAGCTTATGAGGACCGTTTAATGGCGGAATGAATTAAGTTCCAATGCCGCGCTGGAACTTGTCGAATAATCGCAAAGAAGCATACCGATGTGAATATCCATGGCCAAGCATCTTTTTTTCCCTCGAGTTACTTTGGTGTCTCGTTGCTTCGCGAGCTTCGCGTGCTTCACATAGACGACGCAATGGAACAGCCAAGAGGCTGGCTGCACCTCGACCTAACAATCAGGGCTCGGCGAAAGAGAAACTTATCAGGATTGAAAGGTGCCAAAACGGGGCGATGCCTCATCGTGTACATCGGGTACGTACTATTCTCTCCAATTTACGAGCGTTATGTTTTCCTCTGCGTCATTCTTCTTACTGCGCGTTATCCAATTTTGGATTTTTGGCACGTGCCCCGTTAAACTCGTGGCAAGAGACTCGTAAATCGAAATTCGGACAGACGTTCTGGCGTCAGAAAGATCTTGTAAACCGAAGACTGGGAAGAACGATAGAGAGAACGATGTATTTTTGATCAGCAGCGATATTCATCCATCAATTCAGCAAACCAGCGTTTCTTGCTCTAACGTAATCTATCTCCGTTGCTTTTGACGGAGAAGCTTTTTTTTCTTAGAAACAGCATTTTATATCCGTAACGGTTAGAGAAGTAACGTCATGTTAATGTCTGGGATTGACATACCGTGTAGCAGTTTCAGTACTCTGAGCCGGAAGAGACTTACTTCATTGTGATTGACCTTGGAGTCGTCGCAGTCACCGCCAGCAGTTAAATCTTGCTTCTCTGGGTCAATTTCCTATGAGATAAAATGCGATCTTAGATGCCTGTCTACTATATACTTTTAATCTGCAATTATTCGTGTTATCAATATTCGTGTTCATTGAAGAATCGATCAGAAATCTTTATCGATGATTAAGTTCAGATTTACTACTACTGATTTGAAATCTTTGAGATCTACACGAGTTTGCAAAAGGCTTCTATCTTCTCATGTAATATTAACGAGTATGTTTGATAACGGCGACGTTTCTGGTGATTCTATCGTAATAAACAGTTACTCACATCCATGTCCACATGGACCACACCTGTCGATCTTCTTTTAGGCCGACGTCTCCTTTGGATAACGGCTTGTGTGGCTTGTGCGTTTCTGCTGTCGTTTTCCTTGTCTTGTTCTATAACACACATACAGCAGTTTCGATCTATACTAATACAATCATTACTGACGTAACATAAACTGATTGAATATTATCATTAGTTTATTCATAGAGTTATAACGTCAAACATTCGAGCAATGTCAAATAATATTTACACTTATCACTTATTCACAGCTTTATATTCAATTCAAACGTCAAAATTTTCCAGAGACTTTCAGGGCCGATTTTTCTAAACTTTTGGTAAGCTAATAGTTAAATTATATGTTTACCTTTATTTTTCTTTCAAATTAGACGAAGACAGGCATATGATTTAATTGTTAGTTAGATTATCAAGGAAAAATCAATCTTCAATGTCTCTAATTCCAGCCATTAAAAAAAATACGCTTTATATGTACGTAGTACATATAAACATATCTGACAAACATCATGTCTGACAAACATTCCACGTTTGGAACGTCACAATCTTTACCTTTGTCGTCGGGTTGCTTTAACGACCTCCTGAGGGGTAATGTAATGGTGGTTTCTGTACTGCTGGTAGCGATAGTCTCGACTGGCGCCGATGACGGTCTAGGTATACCAGTTCCACCGGACGGTCTTCTCATATAGGCCGTTGTATTATCGGTAGGTCTGTTATTGGCGTCTTCTAACTGAAACTGAAGGGTAAACCATCATGCCATCACGGATTCATCGGATTCGCACGTTCGGCAATTGACAGTGAAAGACACGCGCGATGAATCACATCGGGACGTGGCGCAGCGACCTGTCAGCGATTGGATTTCATTACAACGCGATACCTTCGAACGCATCGCGGCTTAGCACCGATCGTACGAACATTCGTTTGTCGTGTGTTTAATTGCATACGTGAATAATGATTCTGTTAATACACAGACCTTGCTTCCATTGTCTACCCTTAATCTCCAAGATGGTCGTCTCTCGGGCAAATTAGATTCCTCGGGGACTTTATTCGCAGTCACGGTAGTCGAGGTTGCGGTCGTTATCGTAGCCGTGATCGTAGCTGTATTGCTGACCGTAGTCGTAGGCTGGGTTATTAAAAAAAATACATAAATAAAACGCCGTGCGCTGTCGATTAATTCTCTCGTTGCGTTGCCATTTGTGAGAACGTAATAAAAAATAAAATGTCACTCCAGAAGTAGTACTTCCGATTTTAGATCAAACGAAAAGTATTTGTGCACAAAACGCTTTACAGTGATACTGATATGACCGATTGTTTATCTGCCTGCGACTACTACGAGTCTTCCAATATTTCACATTGCAATCTAATCATATATTTATTCCAAATATTTGGCAATAACGATACTATTAGTATTAACGATAGTGTTCGACGTTACCTGCGTGGATGGCGTCAAAGCCGGTGATTCGTTGTTTTGTTGTTTCTTTTTCACCAACTGTTCTGCGCTCTTGATTTCGTCCAACGTCACACCCTGCGTAGATCGTCTGGTTTCCCTTACTCTCTTCGCGTGGGCTTTCCTCTGGGTCTCGCTCTCCTCATCGCGCACCGGCGGAACGAAGGATCTGTACATATGTATAAGAAAATGCACAAGATAGAAGACAAGGTCATTTTGCACAAGTCGCAGCGAAGAGATATGTATATATTATATTTGTCAGTTCGTTTTATATCGGTGCAATCAAAACCAAATTCTTAGTAAGCATTATATTCAACACAATCTGTAAAGCAATGTCAAAAAACTTCACATAAAACAGCAAAGAATACATGTATATCCCTGTAAATAACGATTAATATGTCCCCTTTGTTTCGAGTGTATGTACCTAGTGTTACGCATAATTATCGTACTACTACTTCTCAAATGGCCTCTTCCGTGTAGCGAAATACTGTATCGAATCCTCGATTAATCGTGAGTTCCCCCTGATTGCAGACATAATGTAGAACCTAAACTTCGATTAAGATTGTATCTACATCACAGTGCGATCTCATAAAATCGCACGATTATGCGATTTCATGTAATGAGTGCGTTCATTCGTGACGGTGTTCTCGTTTGTCGGCTAATAAAACTGATCATGTAGCGGACGACTCACGATGAAAATCAAACGTGTGGTTACTTGTGAACGTGGTATACTATATATCATCTAGATTCGTAGAACGAGATTAATGCAAATAAAAAAGGTATAATCACACTGCGAAAAGCAAAACTTCCATGCTATTGCCAGCAAATGAATGTAAGTTATACAATATAAAAAAAACATCCGAGAACACGCAAAAATCAGTGTCTCAAGAGGATCTTCCGAGCAGTAGTGAGTACCCACTTGAAGAAATTCTTGAAGATATTTCCCGGACTTAGCTTGCTCCCTCCTGGTGTAGTGGGAGTTCCAGGAGCAGTTGCTACTGCATTATTTGTATTCGATACAACTGTAGATGCAGCTTCCACTGGTTGAACACTATCCAGCCACATTAATATTATAACGCACAATGCAAAAATATAAATACACAGATGTCAATTATGTGCAGGTAGTAATGTATTCTGATGTTGTAAATAAGTGTTTAAGAGTCCCGAGTACGTATTGTTGAGAACACATACACATACTGTTTTACAAGAATCGACAGTTTATAAAATTCGTTTACTCATATAGAAAGAATTGAAAGTTCACAGAAGGAGAGCTCAATTAAATTTCGATACATTACAGAAAGTAATGTATTCGATACATTAGAAAGTAGAAGTAGACAATTTAATTTTGCGACTGATGTTTCTGTTTTTGCAACTTTCTTCGTGAGAGACAGTGAAATACTGCAATCCACTTTCGATCCCTCCTCGCAAAATGCGTTAGGATGTTATTTGTAGGTGTGAAGTTTAAATTATACATTTAGATATAAAATTATATTTAGTAATAATCGCAGAAAGAGATTCCAAATAGAAAAATTTATTTACCTGCGAATCTGATTGACTGGAATAGGACTTGTTGTTGTGGTGGCAGTGGTAGTAGTTGTTGTTGTGGATGACAATGGACTCGATGCCAATGTTTTAGATGCGGATGTTGGTGAAAGTGTATTGCTTCCTTGTGGCAGTCTTGATAATTCCAAATTTAATTTCACTTCTTTCTTTCTAGAGTAAGGATAAAATAAATAATTAAAAAGAAATAATGCGTAACGATAAACTGTCGGCGTGATTGTACATATTTCAATAACAGATGTTATGGCTCATGATATGCAAAGCATTTATACAGAGCATTTTTTTTATATTGACTGAGAACTTTTTCAACATTATAGGATTTTCAAAAGAAAAATAAAATTTAAAAGTATTAAGAATAAAAACATATTTGTTAATGTCTCCATGGCTAAGTGAAGTAACTCCCAATTATACATTTTCACGTTTCTTCTTGAAGATATCTCAATATAAAATTATAAATTTTTATTTTTCCGCGCGCGTGCGCACGAATTCCATAGGAATTATGAATTAATAACTATTTACTCAACCATGGTACAGTTAATTAAAATAAAAATATATATTAATTGTGTATATATATAATATAAAGTTATCAAAAGTAACTCAATTAAAAAATGTTAACAGCTATCGTTTTAATCTAATTAGTACTATTACCCGGTTTAAATTGAAGCACCTTGAAGTCTCAGGTTAAGATAATAAGTAGCAAGCTATATCGAAAGCTCATTCACACAGAACGTACAGAAAAAAAATAGTGTAAAATTACATGGTTCACGAATTTATACATTTACACTTACAAATCATACAAACAGCACAATGACATGTTACGACATTCTACGTATTATACAGAGTTGATCGTATTGAGTTAAATGGAATTACCGACGAGTATCACGATTGTAGTTCGTATTACGAACTATTGTTAAAAGCTATTGTAAACGTTGATTAGAAGCATGCGGATATACCTGTGTGTTTCGCGTAGAGATGCAGAGCGGGTCGTAGCATTGGTGTGAGTAGGAGTAGCTACATTGCAGCAATGGAGGGTAGGGCACGAGAACGCCTTGATGCGGGCTTGTAATGCCAAGTACTGCTCATAAAACCTGCATCACATGCACCGTGCCATGCATATCTCTACACTCTAATTTATCACAATGTCGTTGTATCACGAATGTACAAATTAAGGTATGAAACTGCTAAAACTCCTAATTAATGCGAACACATGTATGCATATATAATACAGTATCTTTGTATGCAGCGCCGTTGTTAATAGCATTAGATACTCTGCTGATATCATTGGTGAACGAAAGAACGGAAAATACACGACGCATTGCTACGTATAAAGCTGTGAACTTGTATTCTTTGTAGAAATTTGTGTAACGCACGAGCTAAGCGAGAGATATTAGTTTGACTTACTTTTCGTCCGTTTCGAAACTATGCGTCCTTCGTAATACCACTTCGGGCTCGGCACTCACTTTATTCGGTACCGTTGATATCTTAATATTGTTATCCTTATCTTCGAGTTCTGAAACGATTATACGGATATGAATTTATTCAAAGTATCTCGACTTCGAAAACGTGAGATAGTAGTGTCGTTCGACAACATACTTGTAGACGCAGAATTAGTAGTTTCAGTACTTTGAATTCTATTTCGAAAGGAACCTGAACGTCTCCAAGATGGTACGACGCCTTCCTCGTTATTATCAGTCTGTTGTTTTGGAGGCAATATTGGAGCCTTGAAAGAAAGCACAGATACAAATAAAATTAATCGAGAGATCATGAAATGTATTAAATTACTTCCTTATTAGAATGTATATTTTACCTGATTAGGAACTTTATTACTTTCGACTGGAGATACTGGACTATGGAGCGCAATTTCATCTTTGTTTACTCTATTCTTTTTCTCTGCAAAATAATCGATTAAAAATTACTAACTCGTCGATTCAAAAAAAGAGGGAAGGAAAATATGAAATTTGAAGTTTTAGAGCAATAATTAATCCAGCAAGTTTAAAATGCTCTCAACACAAAATCCGATAATACATGCAGTATAATAAAAAATAAATATAATAATTTGTATTATAAGAAAAGAAGAACCAGTCTTACAGATCAAACTTACCGTCATCTGTAAGACATGTCGCGTGGTTAGACTTATCAGATTGATTGGAGAAAGTGGAAGAGTGTGATTCTGAGCTAGTCTCAGATTCACCTTCACCATCACTCTCTTCCATGTGTGTTTCACGCGTTGCTTCTGTCCATGCAGCAATGTTATGAGAAATACAAATTATAGTTAACGTACATCAACTAGATTTGCAAAACTGGACATTAGGATATAGATTTGTGTGTGAGGAAGTACAGTTTGCAAAACATCGATTATTCTCTTTTCTCTTTACTCGCATAAAGAAGATAAACATGGAAGTTGCAGAGTAGATAGTTATTTTGTATTAATATAATCACGTTTTTAAAAAAAGGAAAAGAAAATAGAAATAAACGTGCGGATTAAATCTAATATTTCAAGGAGTAATTCGAACAAGGAACTCACCGACGTCGCTGTTTGTACTAGTGCTGGAATCCTCTTTGTCAGATTGAATCTCTAACTCAACCTTCTTAACTTTATTTGGTGTTTCTTCCTCAAAGATTTCTGTAGATTCTTGTGCCGCCACTGCATTCTCATTGTTAGTTGAGACGCTGTAACGTTTAACAGTACATTGAAATAAGCAAATGATATCCTCACGCTTGATTTTTTAATGTCATTCTACATGTGTGTACCGTTTCTTTGGTATAGACGATTGCTTTTTATTAATTATTTGCGGGCTGTCTTTCATTATAAGTGCTTGTTGCTCCTTCAACTCTTCGAGAGCTTTTAGGATATCTGCATCGGCAACGTCGAAAGCAGTTTGACCCTAAACGCGAGATACCGAGGTGAAAACAATACCCTGTGAATTACATTTGCCAATTCAAACCAGCCTAGACCAAACTTGGACTAGTCCGATTTAGTCTGAGCTAGTCTAAACTAGTCATAATTACGAAAAAAACATATCCTTACGGCGTAATTTTTCATATCCATATCACAGCCGTTCTCAACGAGAAGTTTGCAAGCTTCCAGTTGACCCCAGTGCGCCGCACCATGCAAAGGTGTCCATCCATCAAAGTCCTGTGCATTAACATCGCATCGAGCTTGTAGTAATATGCTGCACAGAAGTATTAAAACAATTAAATAAAAGAAAGACAAGCTTTATACTTGTATTCATTATATTAGGAAATTATCAAACCTCTTGAGTAAATCTAATACATATTGACCATTCCATAAGTAATTGTGCACTTTTAAGATATATATATATATATATATATATATATATATATATATATATATATATATATATATATAT